TCAAAGAGTTTGTCTCTTATGTTTTAGGATGCCCTTCTCCGTTTTAGGATGCTGCTGACTCGTGAGGTCACGGTGATGGTAATGGCGATTCTGTTCTGCTTGGCAAGAAGAGCTGATCAAAGGCATGACTCAGCCCTGAGCGAATTGAGAAGAGATGTGGACGTGGAGACCGCAACGGATTGTGACCTGAATGTTGTTCAGACACATCCCTGGGATGGTCGTTCCTGTTCCATCCAAGGGGTGTGTTCCTATTTTTTGGGGGCGGAGAAGAGGCAATCTGATGCACAAAAAGGTGGTCTGCCCGAAGACATCCGTCAACAGCTGGCTGCTCAAGCTGAGGCGAAAGGAAGGCCTTTCGGAAGCGAAGGGGGAGGACGGACCAGTTCAGGCATGCGATCATACAGAGGGTGGTTGAAAATGAGATAGGCGGGGATGATGATTTGGGGGAAGGTCATGATTTTGCTTGCCGGATTTGCATGATGAAGACATTTGGCGGGTAGGGTGGATGCAGGTGTAGGCGTTGGCTTCTCAGACGAGCTGGACAAGTATCCGCCTGACACTGTTGCTTGGCCAGGTTTTGACTAGTGCCTTTGCAATGCTTTTTTCTGAGTGTCCTGGGTGTTTGGTCCCAGAGCAGAATCAAATACCAGATCTCCAACACGCCCATTGCTATTGTAGTTGGAGCTAGTTGCTACCTCGCGGCATGTGTTTTCATCTTGAGTTGTGGTTACCGCACTTGTCTCTTCACCGCCAGTGAGTCAGGAGTGGCACAATACACACAATGAAGTTCGAAAGGATTTCCTTGGCAGACAAGACGTCTATGGAGGCCTTTTCGGACGCTTCCCAGCTTTGCCCCTTGCTTACAGAGCGGTTACGAAGCGGTTTCCTGAGCGAACTGGGAGCGGTTGAGGCGTCCCGTTTTTTCCATCTGCGATTCCCTATTCAGTGCCAGTGAAAGATGGCCACCATTTCATACAGGTCAGGGTAGGTCCGCCATCATGATCCAGTGGGCTTTACACTGGTCCTGTGTACAAGGTATGTGGCCTGCTTCGGCTGCCGAAGCATTTGGTTGCCCTCATTCCCACAGACCTCGAAGCAGCGCTGGGCCGTGTTGTCTTGCGCGATCTTCGGCAGTGGCTTGAACAGCAAGAGAAGACCAGGGCTGAGGACTTAGGGGATTCAAACAAATCCAGGGTGTTTTTTTTTTTAAACGAAACCCAGTTCTCAGCAACCACTATTAGATGAACAAACTGACTTTGAAGGATGAAGCCATGTGACTCGTCTTTTCCATTTCACTTGTGTGATGTGCACCTGCTTGTCATGCCACATCCCCAGTCACATCGCAGGCATGGCGGCCGCCGCCCTGCTACGCAATCAGGCGGACTCAGGAGCTCCGATCCGATTTCGCGGCCGATCCGCGCCACGTGGTCTTTCCGCGCCGCGAGGAGCCACACGGTGGGAGGTGATCACCCCCGTGTCGGTGTGCATTGGCCATTGTCCGCTCTATGCTTTGCTGGCAATCCAGACACTGTTCTGCAGGGCTGAATGTGGGGGGCCAATCGCCGTGGGTCGACAAGGAAGGAAGATAAGGAGCCGATATTTCGGCCGAGAGCAGGCATAGGCGAAAAGAGGTTAAATTTTTCAGGCCGAGCAGCCTGGGTAGCCTTGTGAATGCAGGTGGAATATGGGAAAGGACAAGGCAAGGTGGGGGCCAGAAGGGATCCTTTTCCGTTCACACAGGTCTGTGTGTTTTCGTATCCAAACTGAAATCTGGGGCCTATGCCAGTGAATGGTTGCAAAAAAGAGATCAACAGGTTGTGACCGGCACGTGTGTTCCACAAAATTGCATGAAACTTTTCCGTTGTTTCACCTGCCCTTCACTTCTTTTCAGCCAAGGACGTTTTGCCTCGACGAGAAGAGACATGTTTGGCTGGTGGTTTTCTGGTTCATCACAAGCTCCTTCAACCTGCTAAGCATCCATATTGTCCCGAGCTCAGAGGAGGTGAGAGAGCAGAACGACTGGCAGGAACTTGCCAGGTCCTCAAGACTGGCATAACTGGCGCTACTTTGCACATGGTTTGTTGGGATTATGGAGGGGGACCTTCTGACAGTTTTGGTTTGTTTATCTGAGATCTGCGGGTTCCTCTACAGTGAATGCAGCATGGGCGTGATTGACGGCTGGTTATCGTGGCAATTCTTTCTGCACATCCTTGGAATCCAGATTTTGCCGTGAGCTCAATGGGCACGGCAAACCACTGACTGAGAGTTGAGCGCAAGGAAAAGCAATCTGGCTTTCTGTCTCAAACGAGGTTGCCAGCCTGCTATGTGCCATCCTTAATGTAAGAAAGGGTTGACCTTCAGAAAGAGCTTGAAAATACCCGTTTGGAGCGTTTTTCCTTCGCAACACAAGTGAGCTAATGCATTAGTGCATGGTACGCAGAACTTTGAAAGGGAACTCGACCAATCCTCTGGACGGCTTCACCAGGCGATGTTCCTCTTGACCTTGCTGCCGAGCTCTGACAGTGATGGCGATGATGGCACCTATGTGACGCGCATCTCCCCAACATTCTCAGCCCCCCCCCACCCCCAACAGCTTACGATCCTCGCCCAGCTTCCGATCCTCGCCCAGCTTCCGATCGTCGCCCAGCCTCAGAACCTCCAACAGCTTCAGAACGCAGACGTCCAAGACCTCCTGCGGAGTAAGTCCCAGCGCAAGTCCGAGACATGAGGCCGAAAAGCCGGAACTGGCCATGTTCTCCGCGCGCTTCGACGGAGGGCCCGTCGAAGTGCTGATGCGCGAGGTGTATAGGATTTTGAAGGTCCGAGGATATGAGGTCCTCATGGTGGACGCCCACCTAGGGGATAATTTCGGAATGATGACCAGCGCCTACTTGAACAAGCTCTTAGAGAAGAAGGGCAGAAGCGTGATGCTTGCGGTGTGTACGCATGACTATGCTGAGATCACCTCATCTCAGTACAGCAGCAACAAAGAACTGACCTTTGCCCACGAGAATCGAATACCAATCTGGCCATTAAGGGTTGATGATATCTATCCGCCGGAGCCGCCCAAGAACCACTTTGACCCAGATGGAGCGGCAGCTGGCCTGGTGCAACTAGCCCTTCCTCCAAGCCTTTTGTATGAGGATTGTCGTTTTAAGAGTGCCGATCAAATTGCCGATGTGCTTGGAGCGAGACTGAGACACCCGTCCGCTGTCCGGCTGCCCAGTACAGTGTGCGTGCCCGCTGCGCCAGTGGGGTTGGAAGCAGCAGTTGATGGGGTCTACGGTCAATGGGTGTCCTGTAAGACCTGTGGGAAGAAGAAAGCTAACTTGAAGATTCAGTCATCCAGTGGGTGAAGGTCTTTTAAACGAAGGATGATGGTACTTGTACACCAAATCTCTGAAGTGACCTGGCCCGTGACCGGTTTACTGGGATGCACAGATCTCAAATCATGAAGGATCATTAAATGGAAAACCTACCTCTTTGATCCCTTGCCTAGGCCAGGACACTGACTGATGTAGATTGACACGAGATCCGGCAGGCGTCTGTGGGGACAATCATTCGGCTGGGTGGGCCAGTGGGAAGGGTTCATGGACACTGTATGGGTGTGAATTCAAATAGGGAGCCTCCCAAACACCGCCTGAAAGAAGGACAATTGATTAAGCATTGACCGTCAAGTCCCTTGGTTGGTGGTCTCCACCGAACTGGTGTCAACCTTCCGGGTCTTTGTTTAGTTTCAGGATGCGCTTCTATTGATTTATCACTGTAGAAGTTGAGAAGGCAGATTGCCACATGCTTGGTGCCTCAAAGGCCCCCAGACTCCAGACCTCTCAATTGACACTCTGGGCAAAACAGCAGCTGAAGATGTGCGCCGACGACGCCGCGAGGACGCTGCCTGAGGGCTGCAAGGAGCATGCTTGCTTCTCCGAGTCCCAGCTCCAACTGTCAGGACGAGGCTCTCCATGCTGGAGCTTTCTCCTTCTTTTCACGTCGTTCTTCGGCAAGAATGGGCAAAGAACGCAAAGTAATGACATTGTGGGGCGTCGGAACGGGGCCAGAATACTTGCTTGACTTTGCTGCAGAAAGTGCTTTTGGAAACCTGGTTTATCGCCAATCATGGGATATTCCGCCGACCCCAATAAGTTATTTTGCGGTTGGCCAATTCAATGCCTAAGCTGCAGTGTTTTTGCTGTGAATTAGCCCGTGACCATGCATGCACGGCAACCATGGGTTTTTGGTTTGCGAAGGCAAGTCTAAAGAGGAACATTCCTCCGAATGTAAGGGTGAAGTTTTGTTTTTTCCTATGTCAACGTTTTGCTCTTATTGAAGCGATTTGGGAGCTTCGTGTTGGGGGCGTCCAAGCCCTCCGAGCGAAGCAGGTGATGGCAAGGCAGACCAAGCATTTCAAGCAGATGGAGATAACACGATCTGCCTAAAGTGAACCTTAAATAAACACATGGAAGCCCGTGAAATGTAATATGTTGACTGCCTGCAGTGGAATAATGAATGATAGTCGCCCGCTGTTCTTATTTAAACACTCAAGCACCGAAACCAACAAAAACCAACAAACACCGTGAAAAGGGACGATGCTAGGATTTCAAGGTCGGAAGACGCGCTCCGTGGGCCCTCCTTTTGGGACCCTCTGCCGTGCACGCGGTCCGTTGCGGGACCATTGCCCCGTGCGTTTGGCACGGCACAGCGACGCACAGTGACCCGTCAACATCCAAAGGATGGTGTTTTCCCTCTGTGTTTTACATGCGAATTTTTTATCGGTTTAAAGCATGCAGAGTCCACATGAAACTCCTCGAGTATCTGCAGAAAGCCTTCTCGCAAAAAGAACATCGTGAGCTCAATGGATCATGGCCTTGGCTGTGCTTTCGTGCTTAGTCCTCTTTCAGCTTTTTGGTCATATTTCGCACTACATGCTCAGCATCTCATGGTCACTTGCTTGGGCAAGCCAGATTGTACATCTAGTCAGCCAACACAATGGTTCAGGCTAACATAGGCCTTAAAGTTGTGTTTGTTCATTGCCTACGTTCTTTGTCATTCAGCCATGGGAATGACACCGGAGTACGACTACTTGTTCAAGCTTCTGCTTATCGGCCGGGATCTTACGTGTCGTCTTGTACCTGAATCTTTTCATTATATAATTTCAGAAGCTCAAATGTACTTCGTTCGTTCGTTCTTCAAATTTGGCGTCCGCTTTCTGGTGTCGATATACTGCTTGGAGGTGATTCGGGTGTTGGCAAATCTTGCCTCCTGCTTCGGTTTGCAGATGACACCTACACCGAAAGCTACATTAGTCTGCCTTGCATGTTTTTGCATATTTTGGCACGTGCGGGCAGTGAGTGGAGTCAAGTTTCCACGCTATGTTGAAGGAACGTTCCTGCGGGTGGGCAGAATCACAGTTGTGTGGATGATGAGAGATGACCCATGTAGGGAAATACTTGCAAGAATTTCAGTCTTGTAGGCGAGGCCTTGAACATTGGCCTTATGAAAACAGTCGGACCAAAGCCTTGGCATCTTCGGCCTCGTGACGAACCTCGTGCCATGCTTTTGTTTTTGACTCTGCAGCCTCAACAGGTTCATGTTGAGGCTGTTTAAGGCTTTAGCCATCCACAAACACATCAAGCGCATGTTCGACGCCTTAGCGCTTTTGTGTGTTTTGGACCTGCGCGTTTCCGTGTGACCAATGCACGAGCAGCTCCCTGCAGCTCGTTCCCACGTCATGAACGTATCAAGCACTGCTAGGCACCATAGGAGTGGACTTCAAGATCCGAACCTTGGACTTGGATGGCAAGACGGTGAAGCTTCAGATTTGGGACACCGCTGGGCAGGAGATGGCACACGGTTCGAGCCACGCCGCTTTCCGGAACGACGACTTGGAAGAGCCGAGCGGAGAAGCAAGTGCTTCGGGCTCAGGAGTTCGAAGCAAGTGCTTCAGAAGTTCATGATTCCAGGGGGAACTGCTCGATTTTTGCGATGAGCAACGGCTTTCCACATGTTTTTCATGTTCACATGTCATCCTCAAGCCGAACTTGATTCAGATTCCAACTATACATTCTTTCGGCCAGGGAATGTCGTTTCGGGTAAGTTTCCATAGATGCATCCCTGTCCCTCGAGAACCAATAATACAAGTGCAACAAGCGTATATATACAACCAGAAGAGAAACGGCCCCCTTCACAGACCTCACTTGGTGTGAAAGGCCACACTTGGTTTTCTGATCTCACGAAAGTCGTTATGTTGCAAAGGCCCAAGTCTTGTTGGGCACCGGATTTTGTCTGTAGAGTTTCAGGAAAAAGTCCGTTTCTTGCTCCTGCAAAACTTTGGCACACGGCTATTTGGCGATGGGTCCAAACCTGGAGCCCTGGTCCACCATAGGTCGACCAAGCTATCCTGATTTTGACCCACAGCCATTTGAGAACATTGGGTCGCATGGCAGAGTATGTGGCTTTTCTGGTCCGTTTGTTTTCCTCTCGTGCCATCCACGATCATTGATCTGGCATACCAAACAAGACCCTTTTTTCGGTTTCTGAGTCCCTGTCCCCGCTTCTTCCCCAGTCCCACCGGAGAGGAGAGGTTCCGGACCATCACCAGCAGCTACTACCGCGGTGCTCATGGCATTATCGTGGTCTATGATGTCACCGACAAGGAGCGTAAGAAGCACGAGCTGGCCAGCAAAGCGCCGGTCGGTCGGGTCTAACAATTGTTGGGATGGAAGTAGGAACCGAGCAAAAGAATTCACCGAATTTGAAGCCTTGTTTCTTTCTTTGTTTAGTTTGTTTAGAGTTTTTTTGGTTGGTGAGCAACCTTTTTGTGATTTTGACCATCCCAGAGTTCCTAGCAACATCTACCTGTCTATTGAGGCTGAGCTGGCTTCAGGTTTCACCCTCTGCGGTGAACCTGGATTCTCGTTCGCTGCATGTCAAAAAGGATTCTTGTTCGCTGAATTTAGCAAAGCTCTCGCTTACCTTCCCAACCAACAGGTAGAGGAACAACCTATCGTCTTTCAAGCCCTCTGTGTGCTTCGCGGGTGACTCTGTTCATCTCTGTTCACCCTTACCTTGACGATGTAGACGTACAAGTTACGTTCTTTTGCCCAGCGAGACATTCTCACTGTCTAATCTCGCCCTTGGTTCTCATGGGCATCCGCTGTACCGCGTGGCGCAAGGAGTCCTTCAACAATGTGAAACACTGGATGCAGGAGCTGAACCCTGGGCCGATGGGACTGGGAATCGGATGTTGCTCCCATCTGAGGGGAATGATTCCTCTTGATTGGGAATCCTCATGACTCGAGGATTGGGGTTGGGAATGACCAAGCCTCTTTCAAAGGATTGGCAATCCATGGCAATCCCAAAGGACTACTGTGACCAGAAGACAATCATGACAATCACCATGGGGTCTGGCATCTGAACAGTTTTTCGAGTGCCTCAGAGTTCCACCAGCGGCCATGGCCAGCCGGGCAAATGAGCGAAGTGCTGGGCGAAAGCTGCGCATCGTTTTTTTGCGTGCTGCGGTCGAGGTTAGGCCACTGCGGTTGGTGAGGTTAGGCCACATGCGACCATGTCGCAGTGAGTTCGTCCAGCTTGTTTCAGGGTCCCGGGCAGAGGATCTTAAGAACGCGGCCAGAGGATCTGACCTCCAAATCGGAACCGCAAGTGGTTCTCCTATTCTTTTCTTCCGGTCCAGTTTCTTGTTTTTATATATTTTTTAAATCTATTTTTGACTTGTTTTTGCAGGAGATTGACAAGTATGCAGCCGATGGTGTGAACAAGCTTTTGGTAGGCAACAAGCGCCTCGGTGTGGGTGTGGCGGCGTTCAGAGTCTGGATTGTGGACCGGTTCCCCTTTCAAAGGAAATGACTCAAGGAAAAGAAGGCAATCTGACATCCGAACTTCACACTAGCTGGGAGAATGCCTTTGAACAGATTCCAATGAATGAAAAGCCAAGCTCGCTCGATCAGGGAATTGCCCCTCCTTTTTCGCAGACTGGTCATCTAACTAAACTAGTGCAGATTCTAAACTAGGCACCGCCTGTTAATGGAAGACATTGTCCTGCATATAGAAAGGTACCAGCAAAATATGAGTTCCCTACTGGTGGAAACCCCTTGCCATACTTGAAATTTGAATCCCCAAGGAACTCCAGTGGGCCCTCTCCTCTCCCCTGGGGAGGTGATGGACAATGACTCGATGAATGTTGGAAAGGGCATGTGAGTACTCATGCGCCCTTGGTGATTTTTTGAGGGCCTCAACTTGGTGACACAAACGGGTCACAAAGCGACTCTTCTAGGCTGTCACCAGGCTTGGAGGAACCACGAACACAAAGAACAAATGCTGTGGGTGCGGATTCTTCCCTTTTTCACAAACACCATGAACACACTCAGACCCTCAATCTCCAGGACCACCTGCGCGCCTCGAAGATGTTCTCTTCCAAAACGTGGTCAGGTCCGGTGCGTGGTGCAGTGGTGACTAACGTTTCCTTTCTTCTCACCTCACCAAACCGGCTTGCCCCCTGAAACCCAGGTTCTCCTCCTTCTTAGAGGACTTTCCCCCCACCCCATTCCTTCTTCCTTCCCACCAAAACACGCCCATTTCCTCCAGTTGTTCCCTTCCGACCCCCCAGGTGTGACTTGTCCTCCAAGAGGGTGGTCTCCTACGACGAGGCCAAGGAGTTGGCCGACTCCCTCGGCGCCCCTCGGTTCGGACGCGGCCGACACGGTCGGACACGGCACGCGACACGGGCGAAAGGCGCGGAAAAGGGGCGAACGAACCGGCACCGCTCGAAGGGCCGGAAGGGCCGAAGGGCCAAGTCCAAAAAGTGTTTGTTCTTTTCGGGGGAGATTTGGTTTTGGCTATAGCGGGTTAGACCAACAGCTGAAGAAGTGCAACAAAACAGTGAGATTTGGTTTTGGGGCATCGTGACTGGGGGTTTTGAGACGACGAGTCCATCGTCGTCGTCCGAGCCCATAGGGTTGATCGGAGAGAATGAAGTCAGTGAAGGTGAGGTCCGAGTTCGACAGCTCCACTCCAAGGTGCAATTCATGGAGACCAGTGCCAAGAATGCGCATAATGTGGAGCAGGTGGGATGTGTTCAGGATGTGCATCTGCAGCAGCATGAGGCTCTCAACAGCTTTGTCTCCACCTAGTGCCTAGTGTGCTTATGGGAAAATATACACCTGAAGTCTCTGGTGGTTGGCTTGGCGGCCATGCATGTTCTGCTTCTGAAGAATGTAGAGGGGCGTGATTTGACATAGGATCCCACCCACAAAGTGATCTCCTCAAGAAAATGGTGCAGTCAATGTTGCTGCAACGTAGGGTCAGTTGCGGAGGGTGCACGTACTCAGAAAACAGAAAACAGGTTCATGTCCTTGTTGCAGGAGAGTTCGTTTCGACAATCCCCAAAAAGGTGGTTTGGGCCCGTTTGGATTCGCATATAGATCTCTTGACAAAAAGCTTGATATAAGATCTCTGATCTTCATCTCGGATCTTTCCGGAATGTTTCACCAAACTTCTGACTTGGTGAGATCTCTTTTGAGTCCCAGAAGAAGTTAGAACATGAAGTGAGAAAGGAGCACGAGGTCTGGTGAGATCCGTTTTTTCTTTCAGAACCTCCACTGGGTCGATCTGCTTTTGGTGGTTAGAACTGCAGGCCTTTCAGATGATGTCTGGGGAGATTAAGCAGAAGCGCTCAGTGGGACCGGGGGGCTGAAACCATCATGGTGTCTTGGTGAGGAGCAAATGGATTTGGGTGGTGCTTTGTCAACTGTGAAACAATTTTCTTACAGAGACATATACCTGCCAAGTGAATCTTAGGATTTGTCATGATTTGTGGGAAGGAAGATGCTTACATGCACTCTTTTTGAGAGATCCACTTACTTTTTCCAGGAAACAGGACTGTGCATAGGGATGCTGCTGATGTTCAAACTCATTGTGCGCCTTGCCATGGATTGGAATGGCCCAACTGAAACATGAAGAGAAGATACAGAATGGACGAAGGTCAGGCATGCCCATTTCTTAGGATCAGTTTTGATTCAGAGCATCAGACGGCTGCTCAGTCAGGTCTTGAGCTGTTTGGTGATGGTCCCCCAAAAAACCTTTAAGGTCCTCAAATATTGGTTCTGCAGACAATTCTTCCTGAAAAGTGGTGCTTCTCTGGAGAACTCCAGGCACAACTACGTAGTTTTTGTGATTTTGGCAGCTTTCCATCTTCGATGCTTTAATCTTCCACAGGAAGATTGTCCCAGCCACCCTAAACTTGATCTTAACACCCTCCTATTGTCCAAGTGCTATCCAGAACATGTCCAGCGCAGCGTCGCACCCACTTGGCTCCGGGCCCCCGAGGGGTCGCGTGGCCTCGCAGCCCACCAGCTCGGTGCGGGCGGGCGGCGCGACGTTGGGCGCTGGCACGCGAGCCACGGTCTTGGTTGGAGTGGAGCGGAGTGCGGGGATGACTTGCGGGGGAGGTTTCCCAGGCAGGGGAGGGTTGGGCATGTTTGTTTTTGAAGACCCACTGGAGGGTACTGGGTAGGTTTGAGTTCCTCACACAGTTTTTCTGTGGGCCACTGGAGGGGTAAGAGGGTTGTTGTGTGTGTGTTTTTTGATGAGATCCTTGCAAGGGTCTTGAAACCATTTTGTTTCATGTTTTTTTTTTTTTTTTTCGTGTGGGACTTTTCCTACAAGAGGGATTAGAAGCACTTACAGTAGTGAGAACAGCTTGTCTAAATCGGAGGCGAAGTAGATTTCGCTGGCAAATGAGCCAAGAAACCTCTTGGTAGAGAGGGACGTGCACCGCATTTTGAGAGATCCAATATCCGAGAAATATTTGTTCCTGAACTCTTTTTGTTCTTTTGGTTTTGCACTAGCTTCCTCGTTCTTGCTGTAATTATATTACAATATGTATACTGTATATACTGTAAACAATTTTGCCGACCGTATCTTTCTTCTACATTCCTTCCTGAGATCCACAGACCTGACGCATGTGCTAGCTAGTTTGCTCGCTCTGGCCAGGAGTGTATTTTCTCTTGACAAACAGGATGACGATCACTGGTCCATGTGCGAGAAAAAGACATCAAGACATGTTCACCAGGCAAATGACCAGGGTCTTATCGCTGGACCTATGAAGAAGTCTCAGCTGGACCTATGTGTCGTGACCCTTTTCCGTGTTTCGTTTTCGTGAAACAGGCTTTTCTATGTATGTTTCTCGGAGGAGGAGCTCAATTTTTGGATCCCTCCTTAACTTTTCAAGTTCACCACATTGAACCACACTCAACGCGGTGGACACAATGGGTTACGTTCTTTGGTCACGTGCCGAGTGGGTGCAGCAGATGGCCCGAATGGTGGTCGCCAAACCGACCCGTTCGCTCGCTCGCTGAGGTCAGCCCAGGGGGCGGCTGCTGCAAGTAGCTCTGGAGGAGTCGGGGGTCCCATGCCATGCTGTAGAAGAAGCGATGTGTAGATCCAAGGTGATCCAAGTGCCTTAGGATGCCGCAAGGGCCTGGATGCAGTGCTTGAACAACTCTGCGAGGAATGAAGAGGATGAACTCTCTCAGCTTCGCCGCGGGCAGTACAGGGAGCTTGCGAGGCTTTGACTCGAGGGGGCCCGGCCCATGCAGTCCCGGCCTGGAGAAAAGGTCTTCGCTGGAAGGAGGAGCAATCCCCTCTACTTGGGAGTTGCAGACATTCTTCTTCTTTTCAGAATCATGCGGACTCCACACCAACCTGACGTGTCTGTTGCAGTGTACTTGACTTCACACAAAAAAACATTAGGCTTGGGATGGCTTGGGTCATACAGCTGAAGAACCTGGATTTGTCCAATTGGCAAGCATGCTTCTCTCTGAGCTTGCTTGCTTCAAAACGGGCCCGTGTGGATAGGAAGTTCTAAGAGCCAACCGCATTCTCTTTGCTAGCCTAGACATTTCCTCAGTCTTTAAGGTTCTCAACAAACTATTCAAAACTAGGCACTGATGCCAGCAAACTTGTAGTTACTGTACTAAATGTGTTGGCCAATGCTGATGCTCCGCCAGCTGCTGATGAAGAATATGATCAACAAGACGGGCATTCTGGTCCGGTCTTCACGCGAGACATCATGAGCCAGACTCTAGGTCCAACTATCATCGGGGCCCCAAGCATCCAGTCTCATTTTTTTGGCCAGCTTCCAAAGTTTCCAAAGTATGCTCACCCCACAGCCCGCCACTCCCCCAATCTTCACGTTTTCATCACTTCTGGCAAACACACACCCCACCAGCGTCAGACCTGCCTTTCAGCCACTTCCTGCATTGCACCCAAACCCAACTCCCTGCCCGTTCGCAGCTTCACGAAGACGATGAAGGAACACCCCAGTCCGCCCCCGTTTAGCCACACTGAGCCGCCATGCGGAATGGATGGCGCTGGAACCGCATCGCATGCTGAGAGGTGGGTGGGGTGCGCCGGATGGGCGTCCAGCCGTGGTGTTTCATGGTTGGAGTCCAGGGGTTAGAATCTACCACTTGAGAACGATCGAAAGCATCGCTTTAAAATAGACCGGCAGCCTAGCACTTTCTTTCTCAGAGCCCAGTGAGCTTGTGTTTCGCATTCGCATTCGGCTTTTCGTTTAGGTTGAACTTCTCATTTCCATCCGAATGATACGAATGGTACATGGATGTTTGGGCTGACCAGTCCTGATCAGGTCGCTGAACATAAATGTCAGGTGGGAACCTCAGATGAGCCGAACGTCAGTCGTCAGCTGGGACGAGCGAGTTCTCATCTAGAAAGAATCCCCCATGGGTTTTGCACCTTTCCCAGCTTTGGCACCGACCCCGGGACGGTTTCTTTTTCGGACCTGTCCCCTTCTAGGGCCCTACATCCTTAGGTCCTATCTCCTTGGATCTGTTTCCATTGTCTTGCGGGAGGTGATTCAATACCCAAGCGAACTACATGAGGTTGAACTGCGGGTGTGCCTCCAACATGCTGCTTTGTGGTCCCTTAAATTCAGCCGTCAGTGCCAGTTGTTTTGCCAAGGCCAAAGAATAGGAAAGCCTACTCTTTGCCTGAAGCTCCTCAATACTCGTGACCCTCAGATAGATGGAAGCGCTTTCCAACATTTTTCAACCCACCTTGAGGCGATAGATCTGCAACCGACCGCCATGGCTCTTCGCTTCGCGGGACACTCTCTCATTCAATTGGAAGGGACCGTCACTTTCGAGACACGATCCCAAAGCTTGCCGTGCTTTCGTTTCGGCTTTCAAGATGGTGATTCTGCTGAGGTGATGCGCTGGTCTCTGGTGAGGCACGGCCATACAATGGGGTCTTGGAGAATATTGAGGGAAGAATTTGATTGTCCACCGGTTGATTGTTGACAGAAGGACAGTTTGAACAACCTGCAAACCTCTTTGATGAAAAGGGTGGTTCTGTGTGTCACCAAGAAGCACATTTGCCGCGGTTCAGCTCGTTGAATTTGCGACCAAAGAGTTTTTTGGCCACCAAATGCCACCAAGCTCTTTGGTGGAGATATCAGATCACGATTCTCAAAGAAAGGTATTGGAAGCCCTGTTTGCAGCATCCCTTTGCATCCAATGCAGTATTGTATTGACTCATTGACTATTAAACTACTTTTAGACGAGACCATTGGAGAGTACTATACCAGTGTTCCACTATTCTGTTCCACTGACTGCAAGAAAGATCATTGAAGCTCTTGTCGCATTTTCAAACCGAACATGAGACTGTCCAACTGTCCTGCTAAGAGGCAGTCCAATCCATCAGCCACTTGGGCGAGGATATAAGACATGTTTCTTTGGTAATACAGTCCGTAAGCGATTTTTGGGCATGTAGAAAGGACCTGTTTTCATCTAAACCCTTCTCTTTTTTGTCCACGAACACCGGCAGCACTCTCCCGGTGACCGCCAGGCCGCCCCTATTGCCTGGCCGGCGAACGAGAACCTCCAGCAGTTCGGCGAGGCAGATCGGTGGGACAAATGCAGTGCCTCCGTTTCGTTTGGATGTTTGGCCGTACATAGTTTTTTTTGCGCCGCAACATGAACCAAGTATAGATAAATATGGAGATCCAGAAATTCATCTGCCGAGCTTTAACTTGATTCAGTCCAGTCTATGTTCTCTTGGTTCATAGACTCTATGGGTGCTTTGCAAGATGTGGGAGAACAGCCTTTGGAACGTGTGGTTGCTTCTTTCTTGAAATGATGGTCAGTCCACTGTCTCCTTCTTCTTCATCTACTTCTTCGTCTTCTTCTCTCGGTATTTGCATTCATTTATAGATACATCATAATTTCATCATAATACACATGAGCTTGGGGACCTTGTTGACCTCACCCCTGGACTACTCCTCCGTTGGCACAGTGGACCTCCGTCGAACTCAGGAGGTGGCACAGTCGCTCCTGCAGGGGGACTTCTGCCTGGCTCAGTCGCTTTTGACCGATGAAGTCGGCACCCAAAGAGGACCGGTCGAAGGTCAAAGAGTCAAGACAGAACAAGGTGCTGTTTGGAAGTCACAGGTGTTGGAGAAGGAAAAACCATTCTTTTGGCCCTTCTGTTCTCCTTTGGTTCGAACAGCGTCCTCAATCGGTTTCTTAGTGAGTCCCATCCGTTCTGTCCCACCAAAAGCCGGGGCTCCACTTTAATCAGCGCCGAATCGGGACATGACGTGGGCCGAGGTCGGGTCAGAAGCCATGGACTTGGCGAAGAAGAGCCTTCGCTTCAAGCGCCTGGTTAAGGACCTGCCTGATGATGTGCTGCGCAGCTTGGGAGGGATGGAGTGTGGGAGAGGAAGTGCTTGTGGAGGTTTTGTATGAAGTTTCTTCATGTTTGGGGGGAGGGCATTTGGGCATGTTGCGGAAAACTTGGGTAAATGTAGGGATGACTTGGGTAAATGTAGGGATGACTGGGAAATGGTCCTGTACTTTCTTCCGAACAGTGTAAACCAAAGCGGACACAGATTTGGACGGGGATTGGACACGATTCACAACTTTTTCCCTCCTCTTCCCTCCTCTTCAGATCTCAACTTCCGCACTTCCGATTTTTCCCGCAGGAGCTGGAGCTGTGCTACCTGGGCCGCGAGGCCCGTGGCAAGGTGGCCTGGCTGCCCTCTGACGACCCCCGCAGCGAGGTGCCGGCCGGGGGCGTTTGTCGAGGCGGTGCTGGTTGCTTGGCGACAAGGGCCGAGGCACCGCACCACCGAATGCAACGAAGGTGTTGGCCGGATGAGCAGTTCTCTTCTCACGAATGAGTTTCATTGAGAACGCGAAGAGTTGGTCATCAAGGCTTAGCTCAAGAGATGAAAAGAAGAACCCACAGATCATCACCCCACTCCATCTCGTGAAAAAGACTTATCACCTCTTCGTCACATCCGTTGCTGACTGGTGCAACTCGATTCGGGAAGTTTCGGGAAGTTTCGCCCCTCGATTCCCTGGATCGAGCCACCCTCATTCCCTAGTTTCGTCGCACAAGTCACCTCCAGACCCACCAGGTACAGACGGCCCTGCAGTCTTGTGACCGAGTGCTCTCCAGCTGCAGGGTGAACGACTCGATGATGCAAAGGGCGGGAAGCACTCCTTTATATGGGTGCCTCAGTGCCCTACTGGTGCAGTCTGAACCAGTCAGACCTGGTCCTTGATATACATCATTGAGTGGTGCATTCGTTTGACCAACTCCAGTAGAATGAGGGTCCTAATGACTTGTAGGGGGTGTGTTCCATTCCTTCGATACTTGATGCGTTCGGTGAACAAAGCGTTCATATTTTTCTGAAAAAGACGCAACGCCCCATTTGCGAACTCCATGCCCGTTTACGAACTCCATGCCCAAACACACAAAAAATTCAGCCCACAGCCTCAGGCACACACAACCTTTCTCTTGTGGTTGGGGTGAGCAGACGTGGCTGTCCTTCCAACCATTCGTGGGTGTCCTTGCGACGGTCCACCGGCGGAGCATGGCGGTCCACCGGCACGCGCCGAGGCTTTCGAAGGTGACGACGGCACTCTACTGGGATGCTCAGCTGCAAAGGTTGAGACACGACCTGGAAACCAAGCTCTACAGGGGTTGGGAAGATGATTTTAACCCAAAAATGATCCGAAAAGAACCGATCTCTATACTGGTACTTAACAGATATGGACTGGGCGACGGACTGGTGGTCGGTCAGCTTGTCATCTCAGATTCGGATGTGTCGGCGATGCCGTCGAGGAATGCCCGAATCTGGGCTTCGTGCCGGATGGCCGTGCGGATGGGCTACTGCGCATGAACTGCAAAAGCCAGAGAGAAGAGGAGGCCGGCGCCAGTGGAGGTGTTCGAGAGATTAGCTGGGTTTGGGGGTTCCGACTTGGAGGGGATCTGATTTGTTGTTGAAGCTTTGATAGGGAAAGGATCCCAAAGCAACGTTGATTGCTTGGGTCTTTGTTTTCGATAGAAAAAGGACTTTGCTGTTGGGGTTGTGAGGGGGGATCCTTTGCCCTGTTCAATGACCTGTTTCACCCGTTTCGTGTGGTGCCGGTTGATGTGAACCGTCTCAGTTTCGGCTGCGCAGGACTTGCTGCGGCAGCAGGAGAAGCTGAGCGCCAAGCATGTGCAAGAGGGCCGTGTGGAGGAGCAGCAGGGCGGATGAACCCCAAGTAGTGCTGTATATTTTCCTCATCCCCAATCAGGGCGCTTCAGGGTGAGAACTACTGCGCAGCCTTCTTGAAGGCTTCTTGGAGGTCCATTTTGTTTGGAAGCTAAGAAGGGGACCCATCAGGGGAGCAAATTTGTGCTGATGTGAAGGAACAGATGATGTGTGATGATGTGTAAAAGGTGTGACAGGGGTGGCAAGACTTTGGGCCACCAAACGCTTGCTTACCAGATCTGACCTTCATGCATTTTCCTCTGCCACATGGGAAACTGCTCCGCCAGAGACCTTCTTTCCTCACTCGCGTAGCCACGCATCATCCAATCACTCGCTCCATCGCTTCGCGCCGCCTCGACTTCGTTGAGCAATTTGTGAGGACCACATTGACTTCGTGCAAAGCAGGAAGATTTGTGCCATCTTGCAGGCCATCCAGGGTCGGAAGAGCAGGTTCCGCTTTCGTTTTCATCCTCTTCGCGTTCCGGTGGGGGGAGCCTGGTGGTTCCGGGGGTGTGGGGATTGGCCAGCGCCGGTCGAACCAGGTGTCCGGCAGCGCCAAAGTCGCGCTGCACTGCCCCGATGAGGAGAACACAGCGCGGGCGCCCGTGCCATCCGTGATCACTGGTTTCAGATGGCACCGGGCCCCATGTCTTGAAAAGATGGAGGTCCATGGAGGTCCTCAGATCATCAAACTTGGGGATTGTGCCAGCTACTCTGAAGCCACTTTTCAGATTTTCTGTAGTGTGAGGCAGCTGCTCCGCACTGCTTAGCCGTGAAATTGTAGTGGCCTGGATGGTCCCAAGTTACGGGAGCCCGTGATGGTTCTGGTGGTGGGATGCCAGACCAAAAGACCAGGTGCTTCTGGTGATTTGGAGATATGTTCCACTCTTGGAAAGCATTTCTGGTGAAAACACACGGATTCCTTGATCTATGTGGCATGACTCACTCCACACCAGGTGGCATTACTCCAGTTGAGCGAAAAGGTGTACAGACGTTGTGAGAGATATTCAGCTTCCGATCCCAAATCCTCTAGGTGAATTCACTGCGAACTTTTTGCTCTTTTTACCGTGAGACACCTGGTCCAAACACCATTGTTTTAAAGCGGCTATAGGCTATATATGATACTTACTCGCGCTTTACTACGCTTTGCTACGCTTTGGTATACGCTTTTGCTCCAGTCAAATCACCCTTCTCCAGCCTCAAAGAGCCCCCCCTCCCCACCGCCGAGGCGGAACTCGTGCTGTCGCCGGGGCGACTGTTGATCTTCCGGCACGATCGGCTCAGCTTCACCTACACAGGCGGAACTGGGTGCGTTCGGACGGATGTTCCGACCAAACCGCTGTTCTAGCTCGTTGTGAAGACTGCTCTCGGCCGATTTGTTAGAATCGCACGTCTATTTATGTCTATTTCTCCTCTCCCTTTCCTGACGTAGCGGAGAAACTGCTCCTGCTTCAGCGCCTCATAGCAGGCCATGCCCCCCTCCAGCATGAAATTTAAGCATCACAACCACTCTTGTCGTGGCAAGTCTTTGTGTGGTGTTCAGTGTTGTAGCATTGAAGATTTGGTGAACTTGGTCCCACCCGGTCCTTTCATCCACCCTCTTACAGGTTGTAGGCTCCAGGATTTTGCTTCTTTTCCAACTAGTTATAGAAACCTTTCCCATCACCCAAAACCCAGCACTACCCCCGACCTCCCTTCCCACTGCCTCGCTGCGGGGCTTGCCGCAGGCGATTCGCCAGACTGGTGTTGCGTTCAAAGTTGGGTCATCTCCACAGGCCGAGCCGAGCGGATGCGGATCCATCCCGGGCGGAACAGTGGCACTGGGTGGGGGGGAAGGGGCCTTTTTCGGATCGAAAAGAGGAGGTCCAGGTGCTCCGAAAAAACAAAACACACACACACAATTTCGCGAGAACCTGATGCACAGTTTCAAAGCCCTCGAAGTTGAGCAGTTTGTGGAAGGAGAGTTCACCCCCCCCTCCAAAGGAGCCCACGTTATTCTTCCATTCCGGGTCGCCATATCAGTTCTGTTCAGCCCGGAACCGTGGTGATTCGTTGTGATTCGCTGGGCCGACCGGAAACCCAGGATGCCTGGGTTAAACCCAGTCGCTCGTTCCTTCCCGGTGGTTGATGGTGTGGGAAGGGGGAGATATACCTGGGTACCCCGAGGTGATTGTGGGAATAAAGGTACATTGGCGGTGCCATCATGGTCACCAAAAAGCCGGCCAAATCCCAAAGAGGACATCATTTTTCGCAGAACCCCTGGTCTCAGATCCGCTAGGTCTCAGCGCTGAGCTGCAAGCCGCTGCAGGGAACCTGAACGAGGCGCCGAAGGGTTTTGGATGGGAAAAGCTGGTCGAACGCCCCACCAAAAAAGAGCCAAGATCGAACACGAAAGGCTCAATCCACTCAGCAGCTCCAGCTTTCGCCCAATTGGTGAACATGACTTCTTGACAGCTCTCTCCACACGTGCCGTGGGGCGGATCTGGCGAGGCGGATCTGGCGATGGGCGTCTTCAGCGGTCCCTTGTCGCCCGTGAACCCTTTGACGGGGAAGACGGTCAGCGTGATGGCCGTGGACTGCATGCTGGCAGGCACGACGATGGGAGCGAAAAAGGTCAACAGAGGTGGCAGTTCCCTATGCTGGGATGATCATCATCCACCGGAGGCCGTCTTTGTAGGCCCCAACCTTTGTGGGAACTTCCTACGAAGCTGGCTGGCCAACTTTTTCTTCGATTATTGAACATGTGTGCCCCGGTTCTGCCAGTAGGGTTGGTGGTCCAGGTCATGTTTTCTCTCTTTGGGAGACAGGTGGTCCAGGTGCAGTGATGACTTTTGGTGGAAGTTTGCGGAAGCCCTGGAGTAGTTGGTGGTAGATTTGGGGAATCAAAGTGATAGGCGGCACGCCACGGTACTGAGGCACTAAGCAGCTGGGTTGGTAGCAGTGGACGCTTTCAGATTTATCATCATCATTTTTGCATTTAGGAGGACTCAGATAGTGTGTTTGTTCAGGTTCATAGGCCAATTTGACACTTGGAGCATGTCTTGACCCCCAAAGTGAGCCAAACGGGGAGGTAGAAGCAAGGGACTCCCCACTGAAGGCTGATTAGACATCGTGCACTTGTAAGTCTACAGTGCTTGTTGGTGGGAGTAGGGCCACAGCTTCTTGGTGAGAGCTTTTGGAAGTGATGGTCGAGTCACGTTTGATGTGAGAAACCTGTAGACCAAGCAAGATGGGACCAGGGTTGCCCGTGCCATCAGTGAACTTGCTTGCTGTTGCATTTTTATTGAGAAAAGTGACGAGCTGGTGATCAAAACTACAAAGTCTCTCAGTGCTGGCGCACGAATTCCATCGACCGAGCCAAAGGGCATCGCTACGGAGCAAGAAGCTACGCACGGTGGAGGCCCTCGCGTTTTTAGGTTGGAGGCCATTACTAGTAACAAGAAGCTACTAGGAACAAAGGGCATCGCTACTCGGAACCAATTTCAACCCAACCCCCTCCGAACGGAAACGGCTCCAGGGAACGGCGTTTCGCCCGAACAGTGCCTCGGTCGAACCGTGGGAGCAGTGCCTCGGGTTGGGAATCTCCGCCAAAGACAAGGTCACTGCAGGCCAATCAGAAACTCTCTTTTGCTGGTGACCGGCGACCTGCTCGAGTTGTTTTTTTTCTTCCTCAAAAAGTGGTCTTCAAATAGATAGTCGCACGGTTTCCTGAGTTTTCTGTCTACATTTTACGTAGGGATCCACTTTTCCATCTATTTGGGGGGTCTATGTAACTTTCCAATCCGCGTTTGGGGTTCGCCATGCTGTACAGTGCATAACGAGGTATTGGGCCATGCTCTCGGTGGCGACCGACGGGTGTCGTCACCTCTCCTCTTTGCGTTGGGACTATGAGCCCTACTTCGAGCCCAACAAGGAGCGCGCGGGGGCGGGAGCCTCCAAGGGTGGCAGGAGTAGCAGGAGTAGCGCAGTGGAAAGAGGAGCTGGAAGTTGGTCAACCAACTTCGCTGCGTGCGGTTTGGCATCGACCCTATACGCGTTTTAGCTGTCTTTTTGGGGTCTGCAGAAACATCTGGAGGGATCTCCCAGCCCATGCGAATCCAACTGCCGAATCCAGGACTGGGCGCTGGGCACCTTGTCTTGTTGAGTCGTCCGCGGTGCTCCACCGGCTGAACGGAATCGGGAATCGGTTCTGACAGGTAGCCCGGACCCACGAGGATTCCAGGGGATGTGGCTTGCATCTTACAGCTGAAGTGACCCGAAGTGACTTGAAGGTAATTCAAGTTCACCCACATCGGAGGAAGGAGCGAGAAAACTAGCAAGTGCCGTGGCCAAGTATGATGGATTCCTCAAGCAATGCTGTAGGTGTTTGAGATGGATAATCTTGAAAATCCGCCAGTCCCTGTTGGTCCTCGGTGTGAAGTAGTGCCAGTCCTGAGTCCTGAGGTCCAGGTCCCTGTGAGCCATTTTAAGAGACCTTTGACATCTATTGACATACACCAGGAGTCACATGTCGGGGTGGATTTTCATTTATAAGTGAGTGGATCATGGGCACATCCTCCAAGTTCGGCCATATCCTCCATGTGACTTCTAGTATGTTGACATACCCAAATTCGCCGAAGAGGCGAAGAGGCTCTTTGACTTCAGTGTTGGACTAGACCGACTCTGGACCGAAGTAGGCAGAGATGGACTCGGAACCATCTGCAGGTGGGTTTCGTTGGTTTTGGTTTCTTCACCAGCGAGGACAGTGGGGCGAGTGGGTCATCCAGAGGCCACAGCGCTTTGTGCTTCATTTTGTGGGGAATACCCGCTCTTCTTGAATCGGAGGCGACGAACCAATTCAGGGTGCTTTGTGGACAAGTGGACGTGGTCCGTTTCTCCTCGAACGACACGATTTCGGGGCCGCCACGACGAGCATCCGAAAGCTCTTCGTACCTCCGGCCTCTTCAAACGAAACCTGTATACCCTCCGACTCACTAACATGGAAATGCACAATGGCCTTTTTTGGAAGACTATTTTCCTCTACAAACGGGCCAAGTGCATCCAATTTCTCCCAAAACAAGGCAAGTACTACTCCAACCACGGTGGCTTTGTCATGGAAGAGTACCTCATGGGCTTCGACGCCACCTTCTTTGGCTTCACCGAGATGCAGGTGCGACTGGTCGCTCGCACAGCCTGAGGGCTTTTGGCGAGGTCGTGAGTCTTTTTGAGCCCTGGGAGATCCATACCAGAAGAGAGATCAATGCCCAAAACGACTACTCTGGTCCAGGTGGGCAAACAGTGGATGATGTGGCCCAAAAAAACCCTCGGCCCGGAGCGGCTTTCCGCTCGTCTTGGGGTGTTCCATCATTATGATAGATGAACATCAAGTTTCAGAAGGCTAATTCCGTTGGTGATCCCCTCCAAGCCTTGGCGGATGGACCCTCCTCGAAATAGAAATGGTCGCTCGCGTTGGAGCGGGATTTGCAAGGAGTGGGGTGTTCCCATCTGGGAGGGGTCATCTCATCCTTCCTAGAATCGGTTGAAGGGAACATTCTACAGGAAAACCCAGAGTTTTGAGGGGTGAACTCCATACTTTCCTGTACATGTTTTTACCTTTGAATTGGACATAGACCTGCCGAATACCAGAGACTCATTAGAGTTTGTTGGGGTTCCTTGTTTCAGCTTTCTTCCAACATTGTCGCGCATTGAGCCCCCAAAGTGTGGATCTTCGTTCCGCGCGCCTGTCGAAGGTGGGGGGCCGTCGCGCGTGTACCGTGTGCCGTGTGCCGAAGCATTTTCTCGATCCGAGTCGTGAAGTCATTCGCCCTCGGGTGGCTTTGGCCCTGGTTGGAACTACTCGTTGGAACGAGCAGCCGACCCCACACCGGATCCGCCATGGAAGCAGTGGGGTCAACAGGGTCGAGTTTTGTTGTGTGCCTGTGGAGTGAAACAAAAGACGCGTGCCTATCGGTGGCCAGGCCTCCTACATGGATCCCATCCAGCGGAATTCGCTGGAAGTGGGTTCCTTTGGCCTGTGATTGCAGAGCGCACGGAAGGATGTGGGGATCGGACATCGTCGAACTCTGAACCTGAAGGAAGAGCGCAGTTGTGGACATGGTGTGAAGGTGTGCGGTTCTGCACCGTCTTGGATGATCGGCCATTTCTGGGAGTCCGGCGCCCTTTGTTCTAGGTGGGTGGTGAAACAATCCAAACTGGTGTCTCCTATGCTTTGGTGTACTCACTCTAGGGCCTTGGAAGGTCGCAAGGAGAAGGTCCAACTGGTGCTCCCTGGCTCCAATCCCATGTGGATTCCTTTCCCGAGTGACGGGATCTGAAGGTCCAGACAAAAACTGACGGGCGTGGTCACCAACCACGCGAGGCGTACGATGCCACAACCAGTTACACGCCGTACGTCCGCCCATCACATGCCCACTTGATCGAACGAAGAAGTCGCGTCGCGTCGCTGTTTCGATCGGGGCCCACATCGGTCTTTCGACTTCGTCGCGACGAAGAGTTCCCCTCAAAGCGGCAGTGGGTTTCCATTCACACGACAGTTGTGGCAGTGTCCTCGCATTGGGATGCTGTGAGGCTATTCCGTGCTGTCGAAGGCTGGTTGGAACCGGCGACGCCTGCAGAATGCCAAGATTGGCGGTTTGGCTGGAGGGGTGTGGACGGTCGAGTGGGGGATTTGGCGGAGCTGAGAGCCGCTAGAATAACATGTTTTTTTACACAGAGAAGCAATGACTACCTCTCTGTGTTGATAGATGCAGGGTAGAAAACGCTACTTCCTTTTGTTTTTTGCTTGACTGTATACAGATTTGGAGTCACATTTGAATGCTTCTAGTTGAACTTCGAGTCCTTTATGGAAGTCCACTTTCACATCACAACCGATTCCACTTCTCACTTCTCTCTCTCCGCGGCCATTTTGCTCAGCTCAGGCTGTTGGCATAATCTGTCAGGACGCAGTTGGCTCCCAATGTCGGCGCCCGGCACTCCCCGCGGTCCCAAGGGCGGCTACGTGGGCCTCCGTCGTCAGCGCGGCGGGGCCCCGAGTCCGCCTGGCAAGATGGCGCCCACAAGTCCCGGTCGTCGGATGCGGGATGAGGTGACGCCCCGCGAGAGCCCTACGGAGGGAGGACAAATGAGCATGAGTCCCAGATCACCTGGAGGAGGGCAGAAGAAGTCCATCCAGATCTTTGGGTGCACCGGAAAATACAGATTCCTGGATCAGCAGATTGCGTGTTCAGAGCCATGGTTATGAGTTCCTTCTTGATTCCTTTCCTCCACAAAGCTGTAGGTATACGTTCGGGGCTGTCCCTTCACTCCATGTGAAAAACCACTTCAAAAGGGGAGGGTCGTGGCACTGGAAGATGCAGGTCTTCCATTGAAGTTCTCCCTGCACCCGGCAGGAAGAGCACTCGGCCGACCAATTCCCTTCAGCAAAACACAACCGGCACAACTGCGGTGGTTGCTGAACGCCCAAAGAAGAATCGCTGTTTCTTTTAGTGGTGCCCAAATCGCCTGGCGACATCTCAGGCTTGATCAATGACACTTATGAGCCCTTGGAGTACTTGCACCAGAACAAGCCCTGCTGGCGTGCCAGGTGGGAGCTGCGGGGTTTGGGTCTTCGTCCTTGAATCAAGAGCAGCGCCGAAAGAGTTGACGAGAATCATAAAAAAAGGGGGTACCAGTACGAATGGACGACCGAAGAACCACGACTCAGTCACAAGTATGAGAGCTTCCAATGGTCACTTTGCACGCCATGTCAGGGGCCAAAAACTGCTGTGTGGAGAAAACCAGAACAGAAATCGACGGATCTTCTTTGTTGAGCTACAGAACGACATTTTCTTTCTGCCTTGATCAACATGCTCCTCCTTTCTCCAAGATCCCACTGCCCAGGTCGCACACCGCACACAAACCGCACAGGTCGAAACACCGGGTGCACCGGACAGGTCTGAAGCGCCGATCTACCTGTTCCACACGGGCAAGTCGCGCTGGGTCATCAGCAAGCGAATTAATGATGGGGCCAGGTGCTATGCTTACGTCACGGACAATGGGAGCGACCCCTCCAAGTGCACAGGAGAGGGGGTCCAGTTGGGATCGCTGGATAATGGGAAATGGGGCAGTGTGGGCTATCACCACCACCTTACCCTTCTAAACCTTAGATCTTTAAACACACTGTTTGAGGTCTCTTGCGGGATAATTTGTTTTGACAAGGCGTACCTCATGCTAGCTGGGATTCAGCAGCAGTGCTGGTAGCAGTGGCAGTAGTGCAGTAGTGGCAGTAGTCGTAGTAGTAGTAGTAGTAGTAGTAGTAGTAGCAGTAGTAGTAGTAGTAGTAGTAGGAGTAGGAGTAAGAGTAGGAGTAGCAGTAGCAGTAGCAGGAGCAGCAGCAGCAGCAGCAGCAGTAGTAGTAGTAGTAGTAGTAGCAGTAGCAGCAGTAGTAGTAGTAGTCGTAGCAGCAGTAGTAGCAGTAGTAGTAGCAGTAGTAGTCGTAGTCGTAGTCGTAGTCGTAGTCGTAGTAGTAGTAGTAGTCGTGGTGGTGGTCGTCGTCGTCGTCGTCGTAGTAGTAGTAGTAGGAGTAGTAATAGTAGTAGTAGTAGTAGTAGTAGTAGTAGTAGTACAGCAGCAAACCTCAGCAGGGGCTAAGCAATGAGTTGAAAATTGTAGCAGTAGCAGAACAATAGAAAACAACACCTCAATATTCTGCAGGCCTCGAAGTTGGTGCGTTAAGCCCACACCCTGAACAATTCATACAATTCACTTCCCACTGGGTTTGTGTATTGGCTTTTTTGAAAAACTGTTTAGAGAAATGATTTCAATGAATTAAAGAAGGGTTTTTGACACGGGTTTTCCGGTCAGCGTTCCAGGAACCAAGCAAACCTCAGAAGAGGTTACGTAAAGATATTAAAGGGAAACAAATGCAGAGCAATGGAAACTAAGCTCTTCCCAGATGTCCAAGTTTGCTCATTAATCCCACCCCGTAAAGAATTCAATTGATTCACATCCCTGGGCTTGTGTACCACCCTTTTGAAACAATGTTTGGACTGTTTGGAGCAATGATTTCAATGATTTTAAAGGGTCTTTAAACAAGCTAAATTCCGGTCAGTGTTCCAGGAAACGAATAAACCTCAGAAGAGGCTAAGCAAAGATCTGAAAGGGACACACTAGCTGAACAATAGAAAACTGAATCAATAAACAAAACAGACCTTAACAAGAACACCCTGTGTGTTTTCTTATTGCTCCCACCCAGCGGGTGGGAACAATTTTGCGAAACCATTTGACTAATTGGGATTCGACATTAGATCAGTTGATGAAGCCAGCTCTTTCTGCTCGGATGCGGGTCTTTTGTCGCTAAGCAAGCACACTCTTTCACCCGGCACCCGCCCCACCCGTCAAGCCCCGGGCACCCCAAGCAGTGCGAAGCGGTTCCCGCCGCTCAGGACCATGGATGTGCCACTTGGACCGCCGCGGTGAGCCCGCGCGACGCGAGCGGGAATGGTGGGGGTGCAGGGCACCCCGCACCTTAAAACTAGCTTTGCAGTGCAAAGTTGTCACAAGGGGGGTGCATTCGCAAGGCGGCCTAAGACTTAAGATGCTTTTTTTGACATTTTCTCACATTCCCTCCTCCTGGCCTTCGGGGGATTATTTGTTGGTCTCCACAAGGGTTTGTAGATGATCTAAACCTTTTTGCCTTCTCCTCCAGTGTCCCCACATGTATCTCTGATCAGGTTGTGATGAGAACGGAACGTGGAACAAGGACGACGGCATCCGCTGCGTCTTAACCGTGGCCTCCAACGATCAGTTTACCCTGCTGCGAAACCAGGCGTGGGGCTATGACTAAGGCCCTTTTTTTGCCACTAAACGAGGGGGTCAGATATGGATGAGGTGAGCAGGGAGGGTTTGGGTGAAAGCAGGATCAATGGATATTCATTTGTAGAATCTCCCATAAATTCAATATTACTGTTATTTCAATACCACGCCAAACCTGGGCGTTTCGCGGGAACCCCGGGTAGCCGGGAAGGGCTGGGAAGGGCTGCCTCGCTCATCAGGTGGAGGCGGATTTGGCCCATTATGGTCTCATGGATGATGAGAGCTTGAAGCAAATGTGGAGGAAGTTGGACCGCAACGGCGACAACGAGGTGGTACCCGTTCTTTTGGGACTCATCCTCTTTGTTTTTCTTTTTGGTTTTTGAGACCGGACGGACGCTGGACACGACGGTTGGAGTCGATTGGGTTGGGTGGTGGCGGCGGTGTGGTGCGGATGGGGAGGGGCTTGCAGAAGAAGAAGGTGTTCATTGAAGCCTGGTTTTTCCACCAAGGGGGGTTGATTCAGATACCAGTCCCATCCCGTCCCTCATCCTGGAAGCCATGAAGAGGTCTGGGATCATTTCTGCGAGACTTGGCTGATGATCCAAGTGCGGGAGGAATAGCCTACTTACTTCTTGCTACGAGCGCCAAGACCGCATGCGAGCCGTGCCTGGCTTGTACAAGACACCCTGGTACAAGTACAGACAACTTATATACATAAACTATCCCCCTTCAATGAGACACTATAAAATGTCGATCCTGTTCCCTTACAAAATGTCTTCCGACCATACATTTTATAGTCCCAAACTGGGGGTCCATCATAAAGACGAAGGTTTTGGAGCAGAGGGTCAATACAATTTATAACAGGTTTGTTCCTCAAGAAGTGGATCATATTTCAGAGGGTCAATACATTCTGTAAAACACCAAATTCAGTGGATCATAAACTTACCAGCTTCAATCCCCAATTGGGGTGGCACTTTTTCCCGAACGCGTAGCGAAGGGTTCCCGTTTATGGTCTGAGGGTCTGGGGGCTGGACCTGTGTTTTGCATCGTGTGTGTCGTGTCATCGTCGTCGGGTCGTTGATTCCCTGACGCTGGGGGAAGCTTCCCAAGGAGGGTTTGGATGGAAGCATGACGTGTCAGATTTGTATGGACACGCAACCGTGTTGAAGTGTGGAGGATGACTTTGCTCCGTAGGTCCTGCGATTTGTGAGACCCTCAGTATCCATCGCTGTGAGGGTGGGATTGGCACTCAGAGGGTCCGAGGGTGGTATTTATGAGGTGTTAGATGTGGCTGTGACAGTCACGATGCTTCATGTTATATGGCTACCTCCAGTCTGTTGCACACTGTGTGGCCAAATTCTGTCTGTGGATGTAGATTCGGCGTGTCGTTGGGGGGCGGGATGATTGGTGGTGTCCAGGGGGCTTGGTTTTACATTGTTGTATCTAGTCTGTGGCACACCGTGGAGCAAAAAAAAAATGTCTGTGATGTCGCTGTGCCATGCGGTTTTGCGCGGCCTCGGTGGAAAGTGTGTTTGCGTAGCTCCGTGCCAGTGGGGAAGAAAAGCATGCTGGTGTAAATACTGCGTGTCGCTGGGGGGCGGGGTGATTGGGGGTACGAGGCTTGGTATTAGCACCGTTGTGATCCTCTTGACGATAACCACCATCATCATCACCATCGCCATCATCAATGTCATCTTCAATCCTCATCCTTATCGTTGCCTTCTGTCATCTCCTCCCTTGTTTTCGTCCCACCCCGTTGTCTATTTCTTTATCAGGTGTAGCAGTCAGCTTTCTTTCATGAGCCCCCGAAGGGGACATTTGGTCTCTTGGAATCCAGGCCAGTCTCGCGGAAGTGGAAGCATTGGTGACCCAGATGTGCGATGCAAAGATCTGGCCCAAGTGGATCAACAACCCAGACTCCATCAAGAGGCCGACTCTTTGGAGAGCTTTGGCTGCTGGGTGGTGTCCACTGGCATGTGGATGTATGTTGGGTCTTTCCGAAGTTGTGATTGTGGAAACTGAAGGGGGGATTCTTTTGTACATCTGGATGGTGGAGGTCATTTGCCACTACAGGGCCACACAGTTTAAACTGCGAATTCCGCAGCTTCTCAGACTAATGTGTTTGATCCCCAACTCCCGGACTGGGTTGGTAAACCTACGCTGCCTTACTCCACCCTACCTAGTGCTTTTTCAGGACCTTGCCCCAAGCTTGCCTCTTGTGAGAGCTCCTGAACACAGCCAGATTTCCAGGTTGAGAACGGGAGATCCCACAACTAACCGGAAAGTTGGTCGCAAGGTGTGGCTAACTCGGGAATATTCAACACTTTTCGAAGTTCCTTTTATTGGACCGTGAGACCACCCAAAACCACCTGTTTCCCTTTGACCATTGGGTCTTTTTCAACCTTTGGATTGTTGTGTTCGAAATCCCTTCAAACACTTCACTCGATCCTCAAAGTTCCTTTCGCGACGGTGGAAGCAGCCAGCGCGCGACCGTGGAAGCCGCCAGGGCCTTTGAAAAGGCGGCGGGCCTGGATGGGGCCAATGATGAGGCGGTGGAGAAGGAGGAGCGCATTTCTGGAGGGGTTTTGAGTTGAAGAAGGTGAGGACACGTAAGACAGGTGGAGTGGTTTTCGGCGGACTTTGCGTGAAGCCGACGCACGCGTGACGAACTCGCAAGATTCGAGAGGTACTGCCGCACTGCTTCAGATTGGACAAAAACCAACGGCTGTTGACTGGTGAGTTGAGTTCATTTGTTTTGGCGTCCTCTTTTTGACCCTCTGCGCTTTTAGGGTCTGCAACGCACTCTCAAAAGGATTGCCTGCAACGCGGTAGCCGATGCGCACGGACCCAAATGCGGCTCGGCACCCGATGGTGCTTGTCCAGCGGAACACCGGGCGGCCCTCAGATCGGGCCGTTGTGTCTGGACTTTTCACCGGGTAATCCCAGGTGTTCAGTCTAAACGGCACTCAGGTTTGCCCACAAAGACCCACCGGTCAGGTGCCCATCAGGCGGCTGGGAACAAAACCAGCCGCCTCTAGACACCGGTATCGACGGAGACCGGCACTCGAAGCAACGGCAGTCGCAGCTTGGAAGCGAGGAGTTCCATGCGTTGCTGTTGGATCTCTTTTGGTTCGGCCATCTGCATGAGATGCCTGGAGCTGCATGAGAGGGGTATGGTCTTTTTCTGGAGCTGTCCCTATTAGGTGACTCTTTGGTGGAAAAAGTCTTTGGCTATAACACACATATATATATATATATCCACATGTTTTTTTGTTTTCATGGCAGAGCATGACGTTGTGGTGAGTCTTAAGATATCAATGGACAACGGCTGTCGAAGAGAGGGTATCATTGTGGCTGCATGTCCAAGACTCATACAAGAAGTTCCGTTTTTTGAGGGCTATATATATATATATTTGTTGGAAATCACCCTTCTTGTCTACCCCCTCTATAGGTAAAAGACACGTCCGCGCTTGCACGAATTTGTTGTGGTTCACTCGGACTGTCCAATTCCAGCAAGCGTCGATACAACTTGTCCTTATTCACTTCGGCAACGTGGCAACAGGACATACTGAGAGAGCATTGCCACTGAAAGAGGTGTGAGGAAAGGCATTTGTGAAAGCCTTCTGGCAGGTGGAAAAGACTGCAACCACCTCTTCTGCATCCTGGACATCTTTCACATAAAAAGATTATCCTCTTTCTGTTCACTTGCTTTCCACAACCATCCTCCAGTCCGGCTCGGGCAGTTTGGACAGTCCACACCCGGTCCCTGAACTTCAGGGAGTGGAGACCAGACTGTTCCCCTCCACCCTTCGCCTTACCCCGCACACCTTTGGAGCCCAGGATCTTCGAGCAATGGGACCAAAGCCACGATAATATGCTCTCCTTGCCGGAGTTCGTCGCTGGGATGAAGGACCCAACGAAACCACTGGCGGGTGGGCCATGGTTCCTGGTAGGGTTTCTTTGGTGTTTTGGCGCAGGGGCGCCTCGTGTGTGGTTCACCATGGTTTAATTCAGTTTTTCAATCGAAATGCGCTTGGCAGAACCCGGATCCCGTCAAAAAGACGATGGTCCACGTAACGAACACAGAACGAGAAAAAACAAAGAGATCCTAGATGACTGGGAGGTGGGGTCATTCTTCCATCGGGCTACGATAGTTCGGTCGGGTGCGAAAAAGACCATCAGGAAATGCAGATGGTCTGGTGCTAGGTCCTGCTAGGTCATGGGGTTGAAAGGCACCAAGCCTCTTCTTTTTGAAGGGTCAGAGTTGCACCGGCACCAAGAAAGCAAGGCACTCACCAACCACTAAAGATACAACATACTCACTCTTTAGATGGCGCTCACAACCCATCTGCAACGTACCGTCTGCTGGTCCTAGCCGGGCCGCGCTCGTTGTGTAGGAGCTGGGCATCCGCTTGACGCAAGAAGAGGCCGAAAGCGAGTTCAGGCCGCTTGTTCAGTTTGGAAGGTCGGACCGTTCCCCGGCAATGCGGAGCCTGGGAGAAACGGCGCCTGGAGATGATGAAAAAACGTGGGGGCGACCGAAGAAAGGGGGAAGACATCGGGAACGTGGAAGGGCCGATGTTTAGCTCTTCCTTGTCAGCCTGTACTCATACGTCGTCTTCGCCTGGCTGCGTGGCCGGATAGGAAGTCACCTGACCAACACTCGTCGGCCTCCCATCCGGATTGATTTCATTGGCCGAAGCCACGGAGTTCGGTGGGTTGTCAGCTGCTGGGGATCCCGCATGGTCCCATAGTTCGTCGTCTCTACCCCCAAAATACCTGGACCCCCACAGGGAAATGTACCCCGCCACAGGGGTCAGACGAGTTTTTGGTCCTTTACAAGCCCTTGCATCGCTGGCAAGACTCGCTGTTCAAGGCTCGCGACCGGAGTCTGATGAGTTGGAACGTCCTTCGCAGCTCAAGGTCTGCGGGGAAGAGCATGGATGGCGGCTTGCTCCCTTTCTCCGACTTCTGCTCCTACGTGCGCCAGCGCGTGCAGCCGAAGCACAATGCCAACTTCGACAAGAAGCCGGCCAGGGGCTCCAGTCTGCGGTGCACGCACAAGCTGTGAGGGGCAAGAGTCAATTTGATGGAAAGAATCCGGCCTACTTGGAAGCATCAAATGAGCATATTTAAATGGATCTGTATAAAGCCTCCCAAAGATCCCTTGAAGAAGGACAATCGATCCAAGCGCACTGGTTGGGAGTCTCCCCATTTAAATACACGCTCAAGCAGCATGTACCTCGTAAGTGGCATCTTCATCTGCAGATCTCTATAACACCGAGATTTTAGCAGACGACATGAAAGCTAGTGGTTTTCTTGTCCCTAAAAGTTCCAAGTGAGAAGATTACCAAACACAAGGGAGAACAACTGGAGCATCTCTGACCGCCGAGAGAGAGCATGAACATGTACATCAACCCATGAAAAGAGAGATTTCCAGGTCATTGACCCAGTTCCTGCCATCTAAAGTCTAAACCTGTTCCATGTCCAGCTGGGGTCTTTAACAGAAAATTCTTTTCGGTTTTCCTTCCATGTTCAGCGATGGAGAGGGAGAGAGGCTTCCACTCTCTGAAACGGGCCAACAACGTGGATGGCACCGAAACGGTTCGGATGAGGAAATCAATCAATCCGAAGACCAAACAGATGACTTTTCGTGGGTGAACTCTCCACCGTTTGCCGCGTAGACGGCTTCTGCACCTCGCCCGACGCGGGTTCCCGCGGCACCGATTCGACCGGATGCGGCCGAGGTAGCGAAGGATGCGCAGCTGGATACCTTGCGGAAGTCGCACGGAGAGCAGGCGGCTCTTCTTTTTTCTGCATGGGAGCCATGGGACGTATATTGCAGAAGAGGTTCCAGAAGACATGTCACTCATTATACAGCTATATACTGCAATGCTATATGCTTGCTAGATGTGGCAGTTGAAAGGGAGGTATCCTGCACCACCTCCAATTGTTTTCAGGATTTTTGGGGTGGTGCATTGGTCAGGGGAACCCCTTTTTTCCCGCAGAGAAAAGGAATACCCTGTGGTGGACATGTCCTCATCCCCTGTGCTTTGTATGATCTATAGATTCGGATTTGCGTTTTCATGGATATATGGGTGTGTATTAGAATAGGGAGACCCTCCAAAGACCCCAATAAATAATTGGGCCATATACCATAGGTTCCCCTATTAAAGTACAAACCATAATACCATATGTTGGCTTCCTAAGCCGGGTCTTTCGAAACGGAGTTGCGGTAGGAGCCTCCATGAGCTCTGTTGTCATAAAATCGTTTTGCTCGGTGGAGGCCACTCACGGGGAAATGATGATCAAGAAAACCATGGCGGATTTTGACAAGTTGGAGAAGGAGATCAAGGCCAGAAGTAGAGAGATGAGAAACACTCCGTTCCCGTTCGAGCTACGTCAATCTCTACAGGGATTTCACAGGGTTGTACCCTGATTTGTGCGGCAAGTGCCAGTGCCTACGAATCCATTGTAGGTTAACCGACCCATAACACTGTTCATGGCCAGAGAGGGGGGCAGAAGCCTCAGCTTGCTTTCTTTCGTCCGAATCTTCACCGGGCCACGGTGCGTCCCACGGCCAGGATCAGCTCGGTCGCGCGGGTCGCTCCCCCTGATTGACGCGGAAGACCTCACGCGGACCAAAAACGCGGTGAAAACATTTTCGTTGCCGAAACAACCTCAAACGTTCCAAGTAACACGACTGGATTCTGCCTCTCAAAACCCTGGAACACGAAAACCCGTTGAAGCACCCGGTCCTGGTGGTTCTTCTGTGGTCGCTCTCGGCTCGCTCCGCCCCAGGGCATGATCAAGGACAACGACCAGGTGAAGTTGAAGAAGATGTGGAGGAAGTTGGAGCCCAGGAGCTTCATTGAAGGTATTTTTTAAAAGTTTTCTTCCCTGAAACTGCAGGTGGATCTTTTGTCAACTCCTTCCTTGGGGCGTTTTTTTGCATGGACTGCTTTGGCAAGTGCTTTGGACCCCGAAGTTGAGCCAAGTCGAAGTGCTTTCTGATGTTCCGGGCTCCGGGTCTGTAGTTGGGCCATTGGGGGGGACCACTCTCTCTTTAAATTTTGAGAACTGTGGTGTCTTGGCTTCTCCAGAGTTTTTAAATGCTGGCAATCAACAACCGCCTTGCGGATCCGTGCTTGACGGCATGAATGAACTGCGGACGATTTTCAACAGGAACATGGAAGGAGGCGCTCTTCATCCGTCACACACAGGGATCCCTATGCGAAGCAGCCGCTCCCGGCTGGCTCTTTTTCTTTTCGCTGCGCGTGTGGTCGGTGCCACACGTCGCAAGAACTAAAGGAAGCGGAGGAGGTAAGCCGCTCCCGGGTGGCTCTGAGGAGCCATGTGGCGGACGCTTGGAAGTTCAGGGCACACTGAGTGCAGGGGCCGCTGTGTGTCTTTGGCATGTTCTCCTTGCTGGAGATGAGCCTGGAACAATGCCTAATGGACGTTTTCTGGACACTGCCTCTCCTCCATTCAGATCGCCTTGCGCGCCGTGTCCCAATCGCGCCCGACAGTCACCTTCTTCTCGTTGTATCCACTGCCTGGACCCATAAGCTTTTTTTGAGTACATCCATACACACGCACACACATGCGCCAGACGCACAGCAAGGGTTGCTTCTTCACGCAAACTGGGCGTGTGCTCCAAGGTTTCCTCGAAGGGTTTCCTTGCGACGTGGCGCGCGACCCCACAGAGGTGACTGATCGGCGGAGGAACAACGCGAGCGGATACATCGCGCGAGCGATCGCGGCTGAGGATTTCAATGGCAACAACGTGGTCTCGTTGGCTGAGATTGACAAAATGGCAGTGGAACAGTTCCCCTTGCTGAACCACAAGCCTGCGCTCATGAGGGCCTACAAAGCTTCCTTCGGTGATGAGGGAGACGAGTTTATTCATAAGCGTGAGTTCAAGATTCTTCTGGCCAACCTGTTCTACTTCAACAAGCTCTTCTGGCTCTTTGACCAGGTGGACCAGCGGGGGGGAAAGCCGCAAAGCCAAGTCCTGGTGTTATGGCCAAATGGGAGGTTCAACCAAACCGACACCTCTTTTTGCGACTTTTAGAGTTTCTGGGATGGAAAGCGAAGGTGACAAAGCCTCACCTTGGATGAGTAAGTCTGGTGCTGGCATGTGGGTGCTGGCCCAGGGGTTTGTTCTTCAGATGATTCCACTGGAAGGAGCTTTAGACATTCAGACATATCGTGAGATAGGCGCAGATGTTTTGTTATATATATATATATGGAACGTCAAGGTTCCTTTCCTGTTCTTTCTAAGTCACTCAATTGGATCGGAGGATATAACATGGGGTCATTTTGCCTTCGCGTCATGCCTTCGCGGAAACGTAAAGGCCACGGTAAAAACGGCCGGTTTCCCCTGGTTGCGCGGTTTCAGCCTGCACAACTTGCAGGTGGACCAAGACCACGATCGGCGGATGGATATCAAAGAGTTTACGTGGTGCATGTCCATGTGTGGCCTCAAGCTTTCCCAGCCGAAACTGGAGGCGTGGTACGCTTCTTTTTTCCCATTGTGTCTTGCTAAAGTTAGTTTTTGTTTCTCTTTGTATCTGCGCAAGTTGGCAATCGAGAAGAAGTTTGTTGGTTGAAAGGACTGAACCAACACCTTTATGTTAAAGTGTGATGGGTAAAGGGTTTCCAACATTGCCAAGGCCTACATTGTGTCTGTATAGGCTTTACAATCTGCTTGGTAGTCCAGAGTAGGACGCCCCTCTGACTGCGTGGGCGGCCTTGGTTGGCACGGGGTGGCCCAGGCAGAGTTCAAGAAGATCGACCAGAACGGTGGAGGCATCATCCTCTTCGACGAGTTCTGCCGACACCTGGACCAAGCAGTGCGATTGGGGCGACTGGGGCGACGTTCGTACCCTGGGGCGACTGGGGTCGGTTTGGGCTGAACCCATTCTTCTTTTTCTACTGTCACCGCCAGAGAGTTTAGAGAGGTAGGGTGTAGCTGGGTGAGTCCTGATGTCCGAGGACCGACCTTGATTTGAGGACGTTCGAAGGGACATGACACGTTCGCAACGTCCGTGAGAGTGAAGAAAAGACGAATCACGGACGTTGCAGTAGTGACTTGAAAGTAAACATGCGTCTGTGTTTTCGGTCGCACGCATTCCAGGAGTCAGAGTCAGGCTTTTTGTTCCATCCAGTGAGTGGATGTGACAGGGGCACCCCTTATCCTCCAAGTTCGGCACCCCTTGGTGACTCCTGGTTCAGACCGGTCATCCACCGCCCATTTCATGGAAGAAACCACCAGCCCTCGGAGGTCGCTAAATCTCCCGTGGTTAAATGCTAGTCTCTTCGTGGAAGGCCCAGGGCCTAAGAAAACATGGCTTTCAGCCATGGCAGAAGAAGAACTACTTCCAATGCTTGGTCCGCTGACGCCGCGCTTCCGTCATCGGTCACCGGTTGGGGACGACGGATGCGGGGCCCGCACGAGTGTGTAGGACATTTCCGGGAGGCCCGCAACCAATGGGTAGACTGGTCTATTGGCTTCTTGTCTAGGCCTGTTGTGGGTTTTGCTGCTCCCCTCCAGTGTAAACCCAACCAATGGGTAGACTGGTCTATTTGGTTTCTGGTTTCGTTCCCGCCCCAGGATACTTTACAGACCGGACATGCCCTGAAGCGATGACAGACTTCATCGACAACCTCTGATGAGGGACGACGCGGCAGAAAAACTATCTCATCCAAGGGAGCGAGGGACGGACGAGATGGGTGTGGGTCTGATTTCAGAAAAGATGAGGTAGTTAGCACTCGTAGCGGGAGAAATGGTTGTGCAAGAAACTGTCATGTGCCAACCTGTAGGGGGCTATAGTATTATACATGCATGATAATGAATAAGAACTGATGACCTGTGAGAACCAGTAGGGAGCAATCGTATATTATATATATGATCAGAAGCTGACATGTGCGGAAGAGTAGGGGGCTATAATATATTGTATCATGATTTGCCAGCCACTACAAGCTACCAATTGCAAGTGTTTGATGTCAGACCGTCAGACCTGCATCCATGACTCCAAGACGGGGAAGAGGCACTGGGAATGGACGAAAGGTGTTGCACGAGTCCATGGAGTGGGTGACTGCACGGATCTGTGGGATCTTCGTGACTTCAGATGAATCACATGTCAAAAGCCGATCCATTTCTGATGGCTGATAGAAGAAGATAGTATATTTCAGAGCATCTGAAAAAGTGGAGTCCATGCGTAGAACTCCCTTCCCCTTTTGGGCCATTTGTGGCTTGGTCTTGGAGTGATCTGATCGGTCCCTCAAAGGGAACTTGGCACCGTTCACTTCGTTCCGATGCCACTGAAAGTGGCCACTTTTATCCCTGCATCCGCAAATTTGGGAGGGCACCCCATTTTGAGCGCCGAAAGCCACAGAAGCTGCGCGTGGTGCTTGCCACGTGTGGTTGTGGGTGTTCGAGCCAGCTTCCCCACATGCCCCGCGAGCAAGTCTCCAAAGCCAATTTCAGTTGCATATAGATAGATGCACATAGTTGCTACTGGATTTCCAGGGCAGGTTTGTTAAAACAGAGTGAAGATGTTATCATGGTCCGGTGTTGAACAAAGCACCTCTTCGGTTTGGGTCCCCAAACCGCCCTTTCCTTGGTGGGAACGCAGAGAAGACGAAGAAGCTCGGAACCTCCGTCACCGACGGCACGGTGAAGCGATGGCCCGGAGAGGCTGGCACCTCTTTCTTCATTCTCCCATTTCTGCGGACTCAGGGGCGAAGCGCCAGGGGGCTCCAAGGCTTTACGCTCAAAGATGTTCTGCTTAGAATACTGGTAGCTACATGTTCTCAGCTTAGGATCCAAGAAATATGCATAGGGTGAGTCGAGGAGGTGAAGGACCCCATGACTAGGAGCAGTGGATGCCTATGGGCTGGATGCAACCTTTAGCATGCTGGGCTGGACATCCAAGGTAATGCTGCTTTTCGCGGGATGAGAGGAACTCCGACTGGAGCCAAAACAACAGAACTTAGGCAGGACATGAAACAGAACTCAATGGCAGAATCAGTTTCATGCTGGATATATAGCTGTTTGGAGACATGACGCAGCAAGAAAGCACCTGTGGGGTAGTTCTTCTTTCGCTGATTCACCTCTGGACAATGACCACGCAATTGTGCCTCCCAAGATCTCAGGGACGCTCCTCAGAAATCCATGTTGAAAACCACGAAATTGTTGGGTTCACATGGGCCGCAATGTCAGGTGGGACTGCCAGGACCTAGTGTCCGACACAGCCCCCACTGGTGGGGTTCGGGTCTAACACTTGGAGTCCCCTGACTGTCGACGAACTGAAGCCGAAGACCGTTCAGAAAGGTGACGCAGCGGCCGCGCGGAAATCGGGGACATCGGGTTGCGTGAATCCATAGGGGGCTCCACGACTGGGACGCACCAAGATGCTCCACTCTCTGGCACACTCGACGCTCCACTCTTCGTCTCCACAGGTTTGGATGTGAACATGTGGCGTTCCTTTCCAGAAGTCGGCATCTTTTGGAGAGTGAACATAGAGCTACCGAAAAGGGAGAGCTTCATGATCTCTAGCACATGTTTTCCGTCAATCGATTCGTTTTCTATTTAGTTTCAAGGAGACCCCCAACTCCCTGAAAACGAAGCTCTTGTGTTGGCCAAAAAACGATCCAACATGTCCCGAACAACACCTTCGTTGAGGCCTTTGACGTTTCCCGGACACCTCGGTCATGGCTGAGGCGTCTACATGGGCAACTGCGGCACGGACTGGTCGGTCACGAAGAACTTCTCGGATTTGTTGCAAGGTAGCAGAGACTTGGAAAACGCATGGAGAGTCAGAGGGGAGAGTGTTAAGTTCTTCACCACTGGCGAAAATGGACATCGAAAGTTTCTAGGGAGGTTGGCTGAAAACGCCGATTCGGTTCCACCTGCATTCATTGAGCTCCATTTGGATTTTGTCTTGGGAGTAACAGATTGGCCAAGTCATGGCAGTTGTTTCCACTTCCAAGACATGGATCTACCCTCCTGGGTGCTTCCAAGGTCGGAGTCTATCTCTATCCCAAGTGGCAGATAGAACTGGGGGGTCGATCTGTTCCACAAACCATGCAGGCTTTCATCTTGTTACGTTCGTAGGCTTGCAATGGCCTCCAACCTACTAGCATAGCGTCCTTGTTACTACCCGGGGTGACACAGACTTCTTAAGGAGAAAGCATGCTCGACTTCATGGCCGCGAACTCTGCGCATGTGGCCTCGACCAGGACGAACTCTGACTGCGCAACTGCGCATGTGCCGTCGAACGTCTTCGATCTGGACCCTACATTTTGATGAATTCTCAAGTCCCAGTGAATACAGGGAGATTCTACACTTCCCTTTTCTCGACTATTCTTTTCATCTTGTTCTTTCTTTTTGGACATTTGGGTCTTTCTTGCTTCGGAAGGTCTTTCAGCCGCTAGCTCCACCGTCTTTGCGTCGTCTGCATCCAAGCACGAGCTACACATGCAGCAGCTGCGTCGAGTGTTACGGTCCGGGTCCCACCTTGCCGTCTCCGCGCGCTGTCGCGCCTGCGCCGTCGCGCACATGCAGCAGCTGCGTTCCGCGTCTTCCGCGTCTTCCGCGTCTGGGACGGTGTCCCACCTCGCCGCGCGAACGGGCTCGGCGGCTGGGCTCGGCCAGGATCTCCCATGTCTTCGGTCTTCGAGGACCTATCAACTGCTCGGACACCGCCTGTTCCTCCTCGCTGGTGGCGAGCCATGGCGGAAGATGCGGAAGTGAGGTACTATAGGGGGTTTTGGGACGGGTTTCTGGGAGGGGAAGTGACGAGAGACAAGCTCGACTTGGCAGACTGGCAGACTGGCCGCTGGATCGGATCTTTTTCAGGCCCCGAAAATAAGACTCCGAACGGGCGCGACCTCTTGGCAGGGGGATTGGACCTTCTCCACCGATCTCCGTCAGGGGAAAGTCCGGGCCCGAACCAAACCTGATTTGTTTGAGGTCCAGATTCTTAGGGTTTGACGCCAGTCTTTGAGGTCTTTTTGTTCGACTCGGCCAGAAAGCTGTTGCAGTGCAGGTTTCCAGCGGAGATCTTCCGCTACGTGGGTGGGTGGAACTGTTCTCAGAACTCACACAAGTCCTTTCTCTTTGTTTTCGGTTGGACAAGACCTCTGGATGAAGTCGCATGATGTTTCTTTTTTTGGGGTAGGCAGGCAAGAGCGCTGGGTCTTTGGGGTTGATTCATGCAGAACCTCACCCCAATCCCGGGTCCTTTCAAAAAAGAAGCACACGTATCCTTCCACCAAACAATTCAGGGCACCTCTTAATCCGAAGACTTTGTTCAATAACAGCAACTCCTTTGGACTCTTCATCTTCTGAATGATTTTCCTGCGAAAAGGCTCCGCCTCGCCACCGGTTTTTGGCCTCCTTCTTGGCCTCGAAGCCCGAGGACCGGCGAGGCTCACAACGCCGGTGGCCCTGGGAGACGCGGACTTGGAAGAAAGGATGACTGACAAGCTGACCCATCATTGGAGGCCTTGCGCGCCATCTCCAGGAGGGATTTTTGGAAAAAAGGGTGGAGACGCAAGAAAGAGCCCCTTTCCGCGATCTTCCACGTGATGTGGCAACAAGTTTTCCAGAAATCAAGCCGCTGATGCAGTCGGATCAAAGCCATCGATTTGAGTGCTTCTACGGCTTCGACTACTACGATCCCGGATTTGGGAGCTGACCAAATCTACTGGAGAGCCTCACTAAAGTCCAACGACGAGGAAATGGTGAGTTTGATCCCCTCATCAGATACACTGATATACTTCCGGTATTTTTGTGCAGGAAGCTCTGGTGCCAGCATGTCATCCGATCTCATCAACCCCTGTTTGGCTACCGAAGTGGAGTGGAAACCACCTGTTTGGTGTTCGGAAAATGGATGAACATGGTAATCCTTTCAGGGCCATGCCATCCACGGCCAGGACCATCATGATTTCAGGGAGAGATTGAACATGGTCATCCGAACTGAACCTTTTTTTGGGGGCCATGCCATGCCATCCACCTAGCCATGTGGTTTTTCAGGGAGAGAGTACTGTCCTTTTCTGCTGTTTCAAACGAGGCCATGCGCCCCTTGGACCCCAAGCAGTCGGATGCCACCTGCAGCGGTGGCGAACATTCTCTGGTCTTGGGGACCAACGCCTTGTGCCCTGGGTTGCAGGACAGGGGCGGACATCAGGTGGAATTTCAAGCAAAATACCAAGAATACCGAGAGTAGGTCTTGATCCGGTGAAAGCCAGAACAAGAACAGGGTCACAGGTCTTAGCGCCTTTGTTTGGCCGCAGCAAGTCCCGGCACGTCTTACATTTGCGGGTTTGAATGGTCTCTTTGTTGAAGAACCAGTGGAAATTTTCGTTCTACCCAAAGAGTTTGTTCCAGTTTGCGGCTTTCATCGACTGGTTGTGGCAGCATGTTTAGAAGAGGAATGTCGACGTCTCAGAGAGGCCCCCGTGTTTTCTTTCTCCATGGATGGAGCGAAAAAGATCACGTTCTAGACGTTGGACAAAACCACCACCTTTGCACATTCAAGGAGGCTGATTCCATGTTGTCATAGCTCCGGGGGACCTTGGCGTCGGTTTCCGTACCGCCCATGGGGAACCAAAGCGCAGCAAACAGGGAGGGCCTCCAGCATGAGGCCTAGTATAGATCTGTGATCTGGTCAATTGAACCAGCGATCCAGTCAGTTTTTAACGAAGCATAACTTCATGTACACTCTTGATTATGTATTTATTTCAACCCCCACACGAGGAGGCTTTACAATGCAAATGGGGAATTTCATCCATCAAGAGTCTAGGAAGTGTTTCTAAAGATTTCTAGACCCCTTGTGGTATGCGGCAATCTTTCTGGAAAGCACAGATCAAGAACAGGTGGTGAGTGATGTGTTCTGCAGGGCTTGATACCAGACAAAATGGTTGTTTTCAAAATGGTTGTTTTGTGAGAAGAGGTCGTACTTTCTATTGCAGGCTCGAGATCGCAGTGTCGACACCAGGATCGGCACTTAAATCCAAAGAACCCACACCTGAGAGAACCCGCTCCGGTTCGGAAGCACCTCCGGGGACGGAGGTCCCTCCCGTGGCGCCCACCGAGGCTGGGCCCCTTTTCCTGGATTGGTCTTTGTGGCCCGAAGATGCTCTCGGCGGGGTCACCCGAGAGGGCGGGCATTTTGATTGATCGAACGAGCCACACCACACCGCACCGTCGTCGAAAATTCGAGGGACTGGTCGGGTTTGACCAGGGTCGGAGGAGGGTTCGTGAGTCGGCTCTGATTGGGTCAGAGGGTATTTTTAGCAGAATCGTGACAGAAAATGGTGACATGTGCTATTCTTCCGGGTTGCCTATATAGCGAAGCCGAATCCAGAGCTTCATATTTTTGTGGGGAGATGGAAGCTTTGCGGATTTGCTGCAAAGGCTGTTGGAGTGTAGGACACTTCCCAACTGGCTTCAGCCCATTCGAGCATCACGCAGTGCAGTAGGCGGTCTAGGCACTTCGCCGTATTCACCGGCTTTCCATGGATCAGAACTCTCTGAAAAAGACCAGGTCACCGGCGAATTCGGTCGGATCGACTGGATTCATGTGTGAAACCCACTGGCAACCAAAAACGGGCCCTTGAAACCACTGCCACTGACCTTCAGGTGGAATAGCAAGGCGGTTCGTTTTGAAGCCCAGCGGGCCGCACCAGCGGGCCGCACCAGCCGAGGCCAAAGGCCGATGTTTTACCTTCGACTATGGCGCTGATGGCTTTGGACGCGGCGAAGGCGTGGTTTCTCTTTATGTTTTGGGTAGCGTTTGGGGCGTTGGGGGGAGGATTTCATGTAGAAAATCAACAAAATGCTTGAAAGGAGTTGGCATAAACCTGATGAGATGGGTACAGAATGAGACAGACCTTTTTTGTTCATGCTTTGGTAGAGTTTCTGCTGTCTGAGGGAGCCATTTTTGGCTACAGATCCTGACTAGAGCTTGCTATGCTTCTGGTGCTCACGGGGTAACCCATGGGCTTCTGAAAACATGCCCAGTGTGAATCCGGATTGTTTTCGATTCGGTTTATTGAAACCGAAGAGGTCGACTGGATGTAGCTCCCAAGGAGGTGTCAGATCAGGTGCTGCTTCAGCCAAGTCCTTCCAAAAAACCTGGAACCCTCGCGCAAACCTGGCGAAAACGAGAGGTTCCGTTCATCGGAGGTAGAGTTGTTCTGAAGGGTGAGAGGAGCTGATCCCCCCAAAAGGCTGGCTGAAGATGTTTCCGCTGTTTTATGTTTTGGAATGTTTGGGACCTGCTTTTCGGATGACCCAATGTCGTCGATCGGCTCAAACAGGGGCGACTTCATTTGAGAGACACTGCAATTCCAATGGACCGCCCACACATGCAGTGTTGATTCTGGAGAATAGAGAAACACGTGCAAGAAACACGGCCGCTGGACCAAGACAGCCCGTGCTGTGCGGTCTCTCCATCTCTCCATCCTTACCCGCTTAAATCACATTTTTTTTCATTTAGTTTCCAACCACAACGGCCTCTTGACTCGCCCGAAGCCCCCTTAACGCCAACGGCAGGTACCAGTGGACTCTTTGCAGAGGTCACCCATAAGGAGCCAACGGAGCGCCTTGCGATCTTCTGCGGCACCAACATCAACCAGGATGGCAGGAGACCCCCCCCGGCACGAGACCCGTGCGCGGAGACCCGAGACTTCTAGCGTGTGCGTTTGGTGCGTCGTCGAGTGGGTGATCCTTTGGAGATCAAATTCCATGGATTTCCCAGTCAGCGGAAAAACACGGAGAGGTACAGCGTCAAAGAGAAGCAACAGGCGATTTGGTGTTTCACCTGGCACCAGCGACGACTTTTTCGGGAAAGACACCACAAGCGTCAAAAGGATTTGATTGGGATCCACTGTTTCAACTGGGTGGATTTGGTGCTTCGTGCATGGCATCGAGTGGTGGACTGGGCAGATGTAGAGTTGCTTCGAGGGTAGTCTGTGGTGGACTGGTCACTGTGTTTTGGCTCCAAAAGAATTGGAATCTTAAGACCCTTGGCTTGTTGGGACGTCTAACCGTTGAGTTCAACGAACCCAAGTGGAGCTACAGTGAAGAGGCCAGGGATGGTCGGTATGTGCCTCCAAGCGAGGATTGGGACGTCTCTTAGGTCCTCTCTTTTCGGCTCGATTGTTGGGGTGCTCCCATTCCATCGAAAAACAGAACCGGTCACAGCTGCAGACGAACCGAAGTGCACCATCGACCGAAGTGCATTTTCCTCAACAAGCCCCGTGTTTTCAAGGTCTTTTTGGTGGGTTGAGTGGCACAATCCCGCAAGTTTGGTTTATAGAGACCCCCATCTGAAAGATATCTTGAGGTGCCATCTAGTCAATCTACTCTGAAACCTCTGTATGTTTGTTTGTATGGATCACATGGGGTCACTCCTATCTCTCCCCATTTCTGACCGATTGGTCAAAGACAAGGAGTGCGTCGATGACAGCTCCCCATGGCCCTTCACAGCAGGAGTCGCGTTCACGCGGGAGGGGCATTCTGCACGGCGTTCGGGGTGTTTTTTCTCCCCAAGCAGTGTGGTAACACTAGGGTCACTAGGGGTTCTTACGGTAATAGTTGAGGGCTGGTGCTGAATCGAGGTGTTGCATCAGGGCGTCCGGCTAATTCGTTGCAATTTACAGTGCATTCATGCCTCTCGAAATCCTCGACGTGCATTTCGACTGCGCAGGCTTGCAAAATCTGGTGGGCTGGCGCGGATGCTCGTCGCGACTGCGCTCTCGTTGTGGTGCCGTGCGCATGGTGGTCACTCTTGATGGCAGGCACACGGGAAACCTCGTGTTTGGTGGTCCAAAGTCGACTTTTCGTGACAGGTGCAAGGGATCGGAACGGTTTTACTTCGATGTGTAGATTTCGTGGCAGGTGTCAGAGAAAGTGCGCTTTAGTTTAAGTCCATCAACTTGGATGCAACTTATTGTTTTTGCATTGTACCTTTGTGTTTGAAGCATCTTAGTTTCCAAGTTCGGCCATGACTTCGAAGCCCAAGATCGTCATCTCTGTGGACTCCCCACAGGCACTGGTGCACGTGGATTCGCCCGAGGTTTCGGCGCAAGTGGAAGTGAGGGACCGGGATGATCGGTCGAAGCGAGTTCTTGATGAACATGGGCCGTCGGCTGGGTCGAGCTCGGATCTACCCCCTTGAAAGGGAGGAGGCCATTCGTCGAAGGCTGGATAACCCCACACTTCCAGAAGAGGAGGACACCGGTGCCACCAGTGGATTCGCCTCCTGAGGATGTTCCCCATGCACCTTTTGAGCCGCCACCGAGGAGATTGCAATGCGACTTGAGAATGTGGAAAAGTACTCGATGACGGTCACTTCGGGAGAGAGGATGCACCGTCGAAGCTGTGGCATGTTGCGAAAGCACCAGGAGTCAAGGCCTGTTCACAGTCCGAGGTGTGCAACTGAGGGGATTGTGAGCTATGGCAGGTGTCGATTCTCATTTGAATTTGGCAGCTATTTCCATGCCAATAATGGATTGTGCTGCATTCCGAACAATCGGAGATTGAAGCCTTGCAAGCATTGCGTTCGTCTGTAATTCAGATCGAAGGAATTGGCTGAGTGAGAACATAAGGTTTCTGTTCTACTTGCTCTCGGTGTTTGATATTCACACCACCAGCAGCCGCACCACCACCACCACCACCGCCACCACCACCACCACCACCATCATGATCCTCACGTTCATCACCACCATCACCTCTCTGGACCCCAATGCGTCTAGATCTCTGGACTTTCTGCTGCTACACTTCTAGAGTGGCCGAAGCTGGCTTCCATGTAATTCCCACCTAGGCCTGCTTAGGCCGTTCCCACCCATTACTTGGGTGGCCAGACACCAGTCAGCCCAACACATCTAGGTAGAGCAATGGGTGGTGCCATTCAAGAATGGTCCGAAGTCATCCAGGCCCTTTCTGGACAGACCTGGGTAGCTAGGCCTTACAAGCTATGATCTGGGGACTTGGTACTTTCTTTTTCTGAAGAGTTGAAGGCTGATGATCTGATGCATGTTGAACTCATGCACTTAATGCGCAATGACCATGCTGGGTCTTTAAATAAGTTGGACTATGTCGCCCATGTTGGACACATTTTGGTGCTACGTTATTCCAATATCGATTCATCTATGTACTACTCTAACTTTCACGTGGACGAAGATGGTCCCAGGTCATGTTTGGTCGTTGTTTTAAATCCAGGGGGGAGTCGCCTAAACCCGGTTTAGGCGGACTCCCGGAGGTCACCTCCCCAGCCTGCGGCAAGAAAGTGGGGGCGCAAGCGTGCGCAGTGGAGCAGCATGCCTGGTCCTGCCGTGCGTCCCGCGGAGATCCATACCGGGTCTTGGGGAACCAGCAGGTGGATGGGGTGGTCTCCGGCAAGAATCAGGGAGGATCTTCGCGTGGGGTGAGGCTGCAGTGTGTGGTGTCTGTGTGAGTCACCTGGCCCGTGCAGTGCCAGACATGAAAAGCCACCAGAGCCGCTCATGCCGCCGCCCAAGTTTCGCAAAACAAATGACGACCCAGTCATCGACCGGGTCAAGGGGCCTGACCGTCGTGGACCTGGGGCCGGTGGAGGTTTGGCCGCACATCGGCCGAATCATGATGCGGAGCAGAGCCATGGCCAGGCCAGTCAGTGCCAGCGACGCCCTGCGTTGCACGGTGACTGACTTGGACCGTCGTGCCAGTCTCACAGTTTCGCAGGCCACGTGGCACTGGACTGGACCCGCTGAGGGGTAGGAAAAAGATCCGGTCGACAGAGTGCTGGCTTCCTCCCTCTCTTTTTCTTGCTGGCGCCATACACTCGTGCGACTGAAGTGCGAAGTGCTTTTCTTTTCTTGATGAATTCGCTAGCCTGCATCGGTGTGAACGACCCGTAGCCGTGAAAAGGTTGCTTATCAGATATGCGAGCGTACATCGCAATATCATCTGCAAGGCCGCTAGCCTTTAAGGTGTTGACCATGGTCTGTCGGCCTGAGTGCGACCGGATGGTTCGATCTGTGGGCTCCTCAAAAGTAGATCTCAGGCAGGAGATGGCTTTGCAAACTGTGTCTTTGTGGTGACCTTCACTGTTGCAGTCCATACGATCAGCTGAAACAGCAACCCTTCTGCGGGCCATCTCCATTTGTCCCACCATGTCGCCTTACCTCGCGAGCCTTTGTCCTCGGTTCTCCTCTTGGTCGCTCCTGTCTGCTTAAACTTAAGCAGCATGGCTTTGATTTCGGGAAGCATGGGCTTGCGCATCGCTTCTTGCCGCTTCAGCGGCCCGATGTACACCGTTGAAGCCTTGAACAAGAAGTCCTCTGCGCGCAATTTCAAAAACTCACTGATGTGCAAGCAGAGAATATGTGTCAGAATCAGTGCCATATACAACCAGCCTACCTTCATTCAGGACACGCAGCGTCCACGCATTCCACAAGCGACCGGGAAGCGTGGCAGCTTTTCCCGAATTTTTGCACTTCTTCTTTTTAGGTTTACGTCCCCTCTTCATGGGAGCCTTCCCTTTCAAGGGGGCATTGCCTTTCATGGGAGCTTTCCTCTTCATGTGTTTCCCAGTCATAGGAGCTTTTGAGCCGAAATCTGCAACTATCATGGCAATGGCAGAATTAATTCAAGAGCGAAAAAGGGAAACACTTTGAGTTTTTTCGGGGAGTCCGCCTTCCCCGGCTTCAGGCGGACTCCCCCCTGCGTTTCAAAAACAACGATCAACATGACCTGGGACCATCTTCGTCCACGTGAAAGTTAGAGTAGCACATATGGATGAATCCATACTGGAATAGCGTAGCGCCAAAATGTGTCCAACATGGGCGACGCAGTCCAACTCATCAATAGACCCAACATGATGTTCAAAACCTTCATCGCGCATGAAGCGCAAGATTTCATCATACAGAAAGTACCAAGTCCCCAGATCATAGCTTTTACCTTGGAAGACTACTGCGGTCGCACAGTATCCTAGAAGCCGCAAAAAGGTCGACCGCGCGCTTCCGTGAGTGCTTTGTCCGCGAAACGCGTGGAACCACAATGGCATGGAAAATGTGTGTGTGGCCGCCGGTCAGGTCAAGATGAGCGAGTTTTCAGGACCTATCGCCGGCAGAGGAAAAGGACAAGAAGCGCAAGAGGAGGAGCTCCTCCCGTGCAGCATCCAGCAAGGGAAAGCCGAACGGGCTGCCAAGTGCACCGTGTCACTGGGGCGATCGCGGACGGCGCATTCAAGTGAAGCAGAGCGACCTGCGCGACGAGGTGGACATCGCCGCCCTGGGCTTGAAAGGCGACGCTCCGAACTGGGCTTGCAAGCTGTTGGATGGGCGGTTTGATTCGCGCCGTGTCTACGGACCTCTTGCGGTGGAGCTGACCGGGACTTGGTCATGGTGCCCATGAGCTCGGCTAGGCCCCCGTGCGCGACGTGCCTTTAGGGCTTGCGCCTTGCTTTGCCTTCCAACCCGCTCGACATGAGACAGGTATAATGTAGCAGCACAGTTTTTTTTTTTTTCGGTGTTGTTTCGCATTGTGTCGGCTAGAAGGCAGCAATGGCCCAAGTAAGACTTGTCCATAGACACCACTCGGATCTTGCGCGAGCAACCGATTGCAACTGCGCTGTGATGTGGGCTGCCCAGTTTGGGCGCGCCATATCTACAGACTACAGGTCCATACAGACATGGTGCGGTTTTGGTGGCAGCCGCATACCGTTCGTTAACTGGAAGATCCCGAAGAACGTGCCCGAGCACTAGATGTATGCCTTTCTCATGGCCTTCGGCGAGTCCTCCTGCGTGCAGCCATATCTCTTGTTAGATGTAATTCGGTTCGACTCGATTGTCTCGCCGACCTTGCTATACCTCAATTGCTTACAGCCGTCTTGCTGCGACCTTCGCTCTCGATGGAGCCCGCGGCGGAGCTTCGATGCATTGCCGCTTGCGCAGCTCTTGTTGGAGCCGCGCGGGGCGACGTAGAAGCTGCAGTCACGGCGGTGCGCTTCATAGAGCTTCGGATTCAGGGGATGCCGGCGACTTTCGCCCCCGTCGTTCTGGCTTCGCTCCGCCGAGACCTGCAGTTAGCCACCCGAGACCTGGACAATCTGCTGGCCTACATGACGGAACTCGAATACTAATTAGGTTGATTCAATGCTCGACAACTGGCTCCGAGCGCGAGCACACCTTTTGGAAGCGCAATGAAATGCAGCCCGGCTGCGCTACCATCGCAGGACTGGGTCGCTGACGTCTGCCACAATTTGGGCGAGGTACATATACACACACACACACCGATACATATGCTAATGCTACATCATCTATAATCAACCAATTATTTTCCGCGCTTGGGGTATTTCAGATGCAGGGGTCTGTGGGAACTTAGGTAAGCCCTAAAAGGTGGAAGATAGGGTGGCTTACCTCCATTCCTGGAGAGGGGTAGAAACAAAACACCATTAGCCGGTAACCGCTCAGATGCCACCGCCCCCTATTTTTATAGAAAGGGGGCGGTGCTATCTTCGCATTCGATCATCGGCTGCCACGCGGCCAAGGCTAAATCTTAAACCGTCCAAACGTTTCCAAACCAACACAGCCCTCTCTACACAAAAGTGGTTTGGAATGATTGTTCCTTTTGCAGGTGCTTGCTGTTCGGTAAATCTGCCCCCATGCAACTCTTGCTGCCCAAAGGGTGCTTGCTGCTCTTGGCAAGGCTTCATGGGATAGCAAGAGATTGGAGATGGTCCAATGGGACCCCAGGATACCCATGTCCTTGCTTCTCCAGTAACTCCGGTCCAAAGAGCTCCCTACTCTGGGCCCAGTTCCTTTTCTTCAGAGTTTGGGCGTAGATTTCATAGACGGTCAAACAGACTCTTGATTAATGTTGATAATGGCGCCAGCTGCTGACTCAGGAATTCGATCAGACCCTTGATGCTTGATTCATGCTTGTTTTCGCGATGGACACACAAAAAATTGTGTTCTCTGGCAGGATCTAGATTCCGCTGAGTCAACATTTTTGTTTGGGCGTGTTCCATAGCCCCACTTACCCACTCAGGGATTCTAATAGGTCACTGAGGATTGAACACATGAAACAACTTCTCCACTGAGGTTTGTCTCGCAACAGTCATCCTTGCTGCGACAAGAAGTTGGATAGCTTGCAAAGCGTTCGTTCTCTCATTGGGAACCAACCATGTCAGAATCTCCCTGCTATGCTTGTAGAATCTTGTAGATAAATTGTACAAGGGAGCAACCATGCATCATCCATTCTTGGTGGGTTCTTTCAAACTCACCCTCAGCTCACCAGCTTTCGCCATCAGGAGTGTATCCGCGCATCCCTCAAGGAAGCCAATGTCACACCTGCAGATATCAGGCTCCGGGATCGAGCATGGATTCCAGTATTCCTGGAGGTCCCTGATTTGGTCCAAGATTCCAGCCCACACCAAACCTGTAGTCCCTCGATGTGTGGGGAGTTGGTAGAGTTGGTACCAAGTCAGAAGCAGCTTGGTTGAAGGCTCAAGACTCCTCCTCCCAAAGTTCACGTCGCCTCGAGCGTCGTTGTGGCCGGCTCCAGGGTGGCGGAGCTCCACGGCACGGGGACCGCTTTGGGAGATCCCATCGAGGTGGGCGCCCTGCGAGGCGTCATGAAGTGCCTCGCTGGCAAGACGTGCGGCGAGACCCGGTCTGGTGCTTTTTTCTGTTTCGTGCTGTATTCAACGTATTCGCCTACAAGTTGTTCTCAGAGGCCCCACACGAGGTCACCAAAAGCCGCTTTTGTTCTTGAAACCAGTTTCACCAGATCGGAGTTTTTAGGTTTTTTTCGACCACCCACTTGGACGTTTGGAGCACCCTCAGCTTGCAGTGCCGGGCCTAGAGAGTAGCCTCGGGTAGCGGGCGCGGGCGCCGCGGGCGCTACCGTGCTACCGCGCCGTCCGAGGGTGCGCGACTTGCCCATCTTGAAGACCAGCGCTAAGTCGAACCTCGCCCATGGCGAAGCCAACGCGGGCATGGCAGGTGCCGGTGCGAAGCCGACTCCATCGGTTCGGGGGTAGCAGCGGGGGTGGTTTCCCACCCCGACTCCTTTGTGGAAGGGCTTTGAGGGGCGAAGCGTCGGACAGTTCGCAAGTGGGTTTGGGGGGGAAGCATTGGTATTTTTTTAGGGGGGTTGGGTTGACTCCATTGAGGCTGGCGATCACTTAGCTTCAGCATCAGGAGGGTGAAACACCCTGGTATCGACCCCTCTGTTCGAACAGTATCGGTTGCTGCTGTCCAAGTTTTCCCACGCTTGGAGGTCATATACCGTAACAAGGCCATCTGAAAATGCAATGGGATGCTGTGGCGAGTGCTGTATTTGGCTGCTAGGATTCATGTTGTGCCACGGAATAAGTTGGTTGGGGCTGGCTTAGTTGAAGTGTCACCTGGCTGGTTGGCTGGAATCGAAGCAGTTAGCTTGTAGAGAGGGCTAGGGTCAATTTCAAACTTGTCTCACGTAGGCCAACCAACAGGAACCCAAAGTTCTTGGGTCATTTTGTGCCACAATACCACTGCATTTCCCAGCTGAAGATTCAAGTGTTTCTCCTCTGCACTTCTCCCCTGCGCCATTTTTGTTAACCCATGGTTTGTGTGTGACTAAGTGAAGTGCCTGACACATCTTGAGACCATGCATGGAACAGTTTCATACATGTATAATCTACATACCCCTTTTATGACCCTAATGTGAGTATCTCTTCCATACATGGATGATCTGACGCTCTGACATCAGTTTGTTTGTTGCACCGCAGCAGCAAAGGATTTGCATCATGCAAAGTTGGATTTGTACTGTACGACGGGATGCTCCGGCAGGTTTCCTTTTCAATCCTTGGATTATCCCGCAAGACGCATGTTGATCTCTGAGAACTTGACCTCCAGGTCCATGATTTTATAGCAGCTAAGTGTTCATAAAACGTAAAACGCCAACTGAATGTATCAAGTAAGGGGGATCTTCAGTCAAGTTGATCTTTGTTCCTTTTGTTCCGTGTGTCTGTGTCTTGCGCAGGCTTGGTGAAGTGTGTCTTGATGCTGAACCGGGGCACTGTTGCGCCCAATGTGCACTTCTACAGCTTGAATCCGCATCTGGATCTCAATGGCTATCCTTGCCAAATCTCCGTCTCTTGGCCCAGAAAACGCCGCCTTCGGCTTCACGGCGCCAGGATAGTCCCGGACAGTCCCCACAGTCCCACCGGTCACCGCTGGCACCCTGGAGTGACCGGAGGAGTCACGGCTGTCAGCGCTGTGAACCAGAGACAACTCTGTCGGCTGTGAACCCCGTGAATCAGCCGATCTGGTCATGGTAGAAATTCCCTTTTGTATCTTTTGTCCATCTTCTTGGTGACCTGTGACGTATGAAACAGCGCCTGCCATGTGGCCCAGCTGCCGTGTTTCTTGCAAGTTCGACCAAGTCAAGACTGCCTGGTGAGGATGACTCTCCGGGTGTTGCTGTTAGCATCCGCCCTTCGGTTCCCCCCATCGGTAGGTGATCCGGACTGGGCGGCCTGGACCGACTGTCCTGGTTCGATATGGAACAAACCGACTCTTTTTTTTCAGGAACAACGTGCTAGTATATAGATGTGCAGTGGTCTGAAAGAGGGAAGACCATCAAACTGCCTCAATGTCGATGAAAGGCACATTATGTCACATAAGTGTGCTTTAGTCTTCCCAATTGACCCACCCATCACAGATCTCCACATAAAACATCACGCTCTCTTTTGCCTCTGGGATGTGGACCCGCGGGAATTCCCGCGGTGTGCCGCGCAGCACAGGGAGAGTTGTTGGAGTTGGGCAGCACCAGCGGCTATGCGGGTGTCTCCTCTTTCGGCTTCGGCGGCACTAACGCGCGTGCGGACGTGTGGGGGAAAGCACAGATGGGGCAGAGATGCTCGGCAGATGAGCGAAGAGAGCGATTCGCCAGATCGGCCGGAGGTGTTTCATAAGGAAGTCAAGGAAGTTTCATGGTATTTTGAGTGAAGAAGTGGCTGAACCAAGCTTTTTTGCACTTTCTTCATATTCAAGTATTTTGGATGGGCTCAGATCGTTTGCTGGAGGTTTTTGTTACCTGACCAGTCTAGTCTATAGTTCACATACTGGATAGGCGGTTTCCAAAGTGTTCTCTTGTGGGTGGAAAAGCAAAAACAACCTGGCCTTCCAACTGATGTTTAAAGATCTTTCAATGAACCCGATCTTCGACCATACCTGGAGCATCGTTGCGTTGCACTGGTGATGTCACACTCCAATATCTCGTCCTCATTTTTGTTCTCAAGCGTCCGCATGAAATGCTCGGTGGAGGCCATCGCGGTCTGATAATCTGGAGGCCATCGCGGTCGGAACGTAACGAGGAGAAAGCTTCCATGGTTTGTGGAAGTGGACCCTCAGATCGACCCCTTCTAACTAGTTGGCACTTTGGATCTCGAGTTTTCCGGAGCTGGGGGGCGGTCAACACACCCGCTCGGCTCGTCCACGCGGGGCGACCACCAGGTTTGCACCGAAGAGAGTTGTGTTTCGGCACCAACCAACCCAGTGGTTCGGGGGTAGAGACCCGAGGAAAGGCACGGAAGCTGAACCTCAACATGCTGGCAGCTTGGCATGTCATTGGGTATTTGTTTTTCTGCAAAGAAAAAGGTCTGTCTCAACCCCAAGTGTTTGTTCTTAGGCAGCTCGATTCTTCCGGCTTCCTCAAATTGACCTCCCACCGCGTTATGTTGAAATCCAACTCAGAGAATGTCGGGATGTACCGTCTATCGAAGTAGGGACATCCCTCCGATTGACCAGAACTGAAGCTGCCCAAGGACATCAAACAACCAAAGACAGCCCGGGTGCATCCTTAGAAAAACGTGTGACAGGCGAAACATACGTTGGAGGCAGCTGTTGTTCCGAAGATGCTCTGTCTTGAACTTTTCTGACTGGGCTCAGTCAGAGCCTAATGGCCCACCGTAGGCTTTAGCGTGAGAGAAGATTTCTTGGAAGGACAGACAGACAGACAGCCTTACTGCGCTTCACGAACGATTCTCGGTCCGCCCAAGGAATATGTCTCAGTCCGGTGTCCGTGGCTTGACACTGCTATGCTTCTTTGGAGAGACGACGGATCACAGAAGAGGGAGCCAAGAGCGCGTCGCCCACGCGTTTCAGAGTGACATATTAGTGGCACCGCCCATCTTGGGCAGTGCAGATCAGCAATAAAGATTACTGTAACAAACGCAGGGACACGCGGCATCCCTCGACACGCCCCTGGTCCGTTCGATCAAGTTTGGGGTCCGAGTCAAGCGGACGACCGAGTCGAAGAGGACAGGGTGGCTTCTGTGGAGAAAGATGGTGAAACGACTGCAGACACTGGGGTTCTAAAAGAGATGAAGAGAACAAGAACTGAGGAGATGCCTTGGGAGCATGGAGTGGAAAAGCGCTTGTGCAGTACCATCCAAGCTGCTTTGGTTTTGCCAAGTGCTGCTTTTGGAGCAAAGGGGCTGGCGTCGAAGACTAAGACACCTTGTCACTATCAATTCTTGTTGGGGGACGTAGACCTTCGCCAGAGCCGCCCTCGAGCCGCAAAACTTCTGCAGTCCATGGTGAGGCCGTGACACACGCCTGCGAAGGTGCCAAGCATGTTGGCCATCTCTCAACCATCATGTTGGAAGTTCGCCGCTCTTCACTGTTCACATATGGAAAGCCCTTCCATTTGTAGTTACCTTGTGGGATTTCAAGGGGTGCAGAATTGTTTGCATCAAAGTGGGTTTCTGATGTGTTTGTGGAACTCAGTTGGATTCGAAGGTGCCAATCGTTCCCATGTGGCTTGACATCGATCTCATCTCAAAGCATCACCTCACACCGCTGCCTTGAGGCCTGGACTATCAATGAAGCCAGACCAAAGGGTACAGTTGTTCGTACTCCTACGACACCGAAATCTGGCAGGGAAGGGGTTCCGAGCCTTTACCAAATCATACCAAATCTTTATTTCTCATACTTTGAGGAGGTTCCTTCCATGACCCGCTTGGCCGAGGCGGCCCAAAGGCAGCGGCTACGGCCGGCAGCCGGCCTCCTGCGTGCGGGGCGAGTTCGATTCCTACGAAGTTTGTAGCCTTCTGGTGCAAGGACTTGGGACGTGGGGAGAAAACACAATTTGTGTGTCTGGGTGATTGAACATAGCAGCACCCATCAGCACCACGAGTTGTCGTTGTTTGGTTGAGTCCAAAAATAGGCCGAACTTGGGGTGTTGGCATGAGGTTCTGTCAGCATGGCTGTCAGTCGACGACATGCAGCGATCATCCCTTGGCCAAGCATCAGGTGTGCTCCACTGGGAACTTTCTACAGTGCAACATGCAGAAAAAAAGCACAGCATCAGGGGTTTGTCACCTTTGGGTTTCTTCCTCTTCTCTCACGTTTCTCTGGCACCTCACCTGTCGCCTTTGATGCCGACCTGCGAATCCGAGGCCTTTGCTATGAGGGCTCCTACCTGTATGGCCAGCCTCCAGAAGCTGAAGAGGCTTTACCCAGTGGTAAGGTCTACATCAAAGGGACCTGGACAGCGTCTTGGATTCGAAACGGAAGACTTGGATGAGGCACGCAGAAGTGGGGATCAATGGATTCGATTTGATTCGAGCATCATGGATGGTGAAGCGCATGGATGCATATTAGACCCCATGTCATGTGCCCATGTGACCATATATAGACCCCCAAATTAGATAGAAGTTCGTAGATCCCCACGTAGAAAATGTATTGGAAACCATGCAATGACTATTTGTTTGGGGATCGCAATCATTATTATTGTGTAGATGGTAAGGGTCGGTGGATGATCCAGTTTTTATGGAGGCTATGCAAGGTGGTCATGGCTGTGGAAAGTGTGATTGGTCCGGCTGGAAGTAGACCCGCAATGTTGCTGACGACAGCTTGAAAGACTCTCCTTGGCGGAGTATAAACGAACACCCAAAAAACGGTGGATGTTCAAGAGTACCCATACCCGACCCATCTCAAGTCTTCCAATCCACTCATCCACATCTGAGCGCTTTTGATCCAATTTTGCACCAGTCTAAGACCTCAAAAACTCGCTAAGTCTTGGACTTCCTCTGCCTCCCATCCAGGAGACCTCTGATCCTTCCTTCACTTCCGCGCCCCTCGATCCGTCACGCATCTATTTAGCGCCAGAGCGCCGGGGAGAGCGACCGAGGCCTTCGGTGACTTTGAAGAGATGAAGTTGAAGGTGCGAACGATCTGCAAGGGATTTGGGGGAGCCATTTGGTTTGGACTCGTCCGGTGACTGGTAGTGGGTGACGTCCCGGTAGGTAGAGGCTTGGAATTTGAGGATCATTGTTTAGGCGATGTTCGGTCCGGTCGACGGTGGATGAATCTGTCAAATGTTGATTCATCAAGCCCTTCTCTTCCACCAGAATGGGCTTGCATCTTCAGTCCGGGTGGGGGGTCTAGCGAATTCATGGAGTTCATGGTCCCAGGTGGCCATGTCCATGTTTCAGAATCCACCTGTCTTACATCTCACACCCTGGTAGACGATCCCATGGACCCGGAAAACTACTGGTTGGTAGAGGAAAACCATCTTCCAGGACAGTCAGGACAGTCAGGGTCTATGTGAGTGACATCGGGAGTGTCAAGGTTTTTTTCCGTTCGCAGCCTGCTTCGGCCCGCCCCTCTCATTGCTCACCTGGCACCATGAAGCACGAAGCACCCGGTCCTCACGCGGCGGTCCGGGTGCTTGGAAGCTGTGTTCGGAAGGCCCGAAGGTGTAGTGCTGAAAAGGAGGAGGTCCGGGTCCTGCAGCATGTTATATATACCTCAGACACTGGTATATGTATGGTACATTGAGACCAACATCAACCACCCCAATATGGCATACATGGATATTTTTGGGGATGCACAGGAGTCTTGCTGTTTTTTTGGGTGGAAACGCAACAGACTTTCTCTTTGGTTTGAGTTTCAGTGGTGATGACACAACTAAAAGGAACACTGGCATACAATGATTGCCCTACGGGGCACTGGAGCAGAGGAACACGTGTTCTTCCCGAAATACCCGGAACTCACTGGGCGTGAAGGATGAGTTTGCGCCAAGTTGATCAGTGTTTTTGCACGAAAAATACCATTGCGGGGTTCAAGACCAATGACAGATGATGACCTGATGTTTTCAGAGTGGATTCACGCCCAGTGCAGGGTGGCATCCACCTATGCACAGTGGATGTCTTGGTTGATGGACCGTCCGGTGGACACAGAGGACCTCTCTTTCATCCATCTGTCAGTGCATCCTGCGCGTTTCTGCGGAGGATGGCGTCTTTCACTTTCAGTTTCGTCTGGGAGAAACGCGCTGTGAGCGCTTTTACCTGGCCATGGACAAGAAGGTCAGGCTCCCGACACGGTTCGGTGGTTCCGCATCGGTGGATGGGCTTCACCGTGGCCTCCCGATGGGGGCGCATTGGGGCGGGTGACCCGGCGTTCGCTGGCGTTCGGCTTCGCGAGGAAAAGGGAAGAACAACTCGTCGAGCGTTTCGCCGTTGAAAACTTGGTCCGAGGGCCGCTGGGAGACGCATAGACATCGGCGAAGTGAAAGATCCCAAAGCACACCCTTGGGCATGGGTGAAGTGTCGGATCCACATGCGGCTAGAGTTCAAAGCCTACCAACTCGGTGCCGTGCAGGACAATGGGACCTGACGGACCTGACACATGGAGCGAATCCAACGTTTTCCCATGTGGGTGTTTGGCCGAGGCGAAACCATCTCGAAGCTTTCAAGTTGAGAGACATTTGAAGATTCAGAACCTATACGCACCCAATATTGAAGCGTGACATACTCTCTCATGCAGCTAGCTGCATAGCCCCCCCAAATCAGTAGCAGGCCTCACCTTTATAGTGAAATTTGCTGAAATTCGTCCTTGGCCCAGGACGACAAGGCCATCTTCCCATGGCATCCGGCAGGAGCGGGCCTGTGAGCGATGGCGCGGGCTTCGAAGCGACGGGAGGTCGATGCGCAAGGGCCGAAGGGAGGTCGATCCGAACCGGAGCCGACCGAAGGGAGGGATCAGGACCGGACCTAGATCTTCCAACGAAAAGCAATGCATTTCTGGCCTGATTTGATCGATTTCAACGATGAACAGGCAGAAATTCAGCAATTTCTGCACAGTTTGGCAATATGGATAGGGACCTACGAAGAAACGCGCTTCCAATGGGTGGAGACCGTAGAGACCAAGGAAGCTGGGGGAGGGGCCCGTCCAGCCAGGTGAGCCCGAAATCTTTGGTCAGCTTTGTAACAATGATGGGGGATCCAGCGTACTGTACTTGTAATTGCTAGTCACCTAGTCGATTTTAGTCTTTTTATATTTGATTTATGTGACAAAGCCCATCCCTCTTACCACTTCTTGTGAGTCTTTCAGCAACATGTTGAAATTTGCAATCTGAATTGAACACAGTAGCCCCATCAAATCCCATCAATATTTGATGGAAAAGGACATCCTCTTGAACATCTAAAGCATTTTTATCCATATGGAGATCTCTAAGCGAACTGTGAGTGCTCCCATCTGGTGGTCCCAGACTTCCTTGCCCAAAATTGCTGAGCTCTCCGCAGTGCTTCCATTTGTGCTGCTTCGAGGAGGTGCGGACGTCCGCGTGAAGGGGCCCTGTCCCTTGGAATCCGACCACTACTTCTTCATCGATGGCCGAGATGAGGAGTGGCCTGAGGCAGGGCGGGCAGGTGAATGCAGGCGAACTCGCCAGGGCGGACGGCGGCCCAGGTGGCTGTGAAGAGATGAAGCGAAGCGGACCCTGTGGATTGTTCACAATGATTTGGCCCGACCATGAATGGGGAATGGAATGGAAGGGACCAATGAATTTCCAGGAAAACTTGCATTGTTTGTTTTTTCTTCACAATGCTACTCGTAGTGATTTGTTCAGGCTCCACATTGTTTAGAAAGGTAAGTTACAGTACTCTTTGCTGACTGACATAAAACTGGAACTCGACATTCCTGGAGCCCTGACTCCTGTCACCAATGGACTTTGTCCCACTTTCATGACGATGTCCAAGAAGAGCCCAACTGCTGTGTATGAATAGCCCGTCCTGAACCATTGCTGGGGATCATGAGACCTCATCACATCTCCATCGATTTATTTGGGGTAAACAAAGCCCATGACGCACCTCATCCACATCCATCGATATCTTCCTTGCTTCACTCCATGCAGTTCCTCCATGAATCCTCCTCGACTGTTTCCCCGCGCCTGGCGCCTTCCTTCGCCCAAGCGCCCCACGTCGCCCTCTGACACCGCGCGACTCCTCCAGGGATCGCTCATCTCCGTTGCGGCGTGGTGCGACGAGCAAAACGCACGACGGATCAGCTGGCGCAGGGAGCCAGAGGAAGGTGGTCCGAAGGCGCCTGTGCAGACAGGAGTCGGCGAGGGGAGGAGACGAAAAAACACGTGGGGACAGGAGACGTAGTTCACGCTTCATGTTGACTGTGGATGAATGCCATCTCTCCTCCATTTCGGTTCAAAAAAGCTCGTATTGGGGGGACCGCGGAAATGAAATCCACCGTCAACTCATTCGCGAGACTGGTGGAGATTGGAGGATTTGACGTTGCCAGATTTACGTGGTTTTCCTGCTGCTCAATGGAATGTCTTCCAGCAAAACCTGCGGGGTCGCCACACCCAGCTCCCGCTCCAGTTCGCAGAGTAGAGTTGGAGTGCTACTTCTTCTTTGCCGTCCCGACTCAGAAGGACATGTTGATGAAGAAAGACCCTTTTGGTCGATCCAGATCCATGAATCCCTTTGAAGAGCCATTTTCAGTCAAATTTGAGCAGCTTTGTTTTCCATGCTGATTTCTACATGGTATTGGGAAGACACCGGGATTCAATTTCCCATGATCTACTAAATGTTCTACATATTTCTGGGTCGGTGTCCTAGTCACAGTCTTCGGTTTTGTTTTTCTAACTAGCCCAATTCAGACATTTGAGGTGAACTCACAGGGGAAAAAGGACGTAAATCGAAGGGTGACATGATCGACAGCTGCCCCAGTCCAGCAGAACCTTCACTTCTCATTGAAATCTGTTTGGCACACTTGACATGGTGCATTTTTCGTTTATGGACCTCTTGGACCTCTTGGGCCTTGTGAAGCATAGATGCAAGCATGCAAATATCGATTTGAGCTCTGCTCCTCAGGAAATGCCCAGCTTTGCGCATAGCTATCAGGTCACAGGCCGAGCTGGGTCGAGGTGATTTCTGTGGTGAAACTGGGGGATGTTCCGTTGTGGCAGACTTGCCAAGGTTCCTAGGGAACCCACGGGTTCTTCACACGATGGGTGCCTGGAACTACTAGAAAGGCTGGCAAAGACGCTTACGTATTAGCGGATTCACTAAACTCTATCTGTTAGGGGGTGACTTTACATCTTTTGTGGTCATCATCTTGCTTAGGGATCTGAGACACGAGCAACACCCTTTGGGCCCAAGCACGAGGTTGTGAGCAAGTTCCGGTTCAGTCGCCTGGTGCCCAAGTCTATCACTGGTGCACCAGGAGCCATTTCACTCATGCCATAGCTCATGGGTGTAGCTCAAATGGGGGTACCCCCGCCAAGCGGAAGTGGGTTGGCCCAGGCTCCAAGACACAGCCACCTGGCCAGGCTCCTTGACGCAGATGAAGATGATCCCAATGAAGCCGATCAAAGGCCTCCGGATCCTTGGCTTTCTACTTACTAAGGTGTTCAAAGGAGTTTTAGGGCAATCTTCAGCTTAAACTCAAAGGGTCTTCGACCATTTCTAGTATGTCTGGTGTTCTCTGGAACCGTAGGATCAGCTTCAAGGCAGGGTGAAACAGCTGGTGATCGAGATCGACCCTGGAGTGCACTTTTAGGAATCTTGGGACCCTACTTTAGGATCCCTTGGGATGCCTGTGCCTGATCTTTTGTGGCATTGACGGTCCCGCATCCCACATGCTGGGGGCGTTGCCTCACTTCTTTGACCAGCTTCCCGGTTCCACCCTGAGAAAACAGCCGGTTCCAAACAAAAGAGTCAGCGTTGGCGAAAAGGATGTCGTTGATTTCCAGTGCTAGTGGTTATTTGCTGTTGAATAGATTGTCCAATCGTAAAGTATGCTGGGGGTATCACCAGTCCTCCGCTATTGCTTCAAGAACACGGTGTTCTCCAGTGTACTCCGCAGCAGCAGCACCCCCACGCCTGCTTCTGATCCCTGATGCCACATGCCTTGAGGAATGACCACCTGATGCCACATGCCTCGCTGATTTCAGGAACGTCTTCGAGTATTCCACACGCTTCGGTCTCCAAAGCCACGAGACCTTCCAGTTTGTCCGCGACTACGATCGCAAGCAGATCATCTACCCTGCCAGGAGCAGATATGGAGACGGTGGAAGGCTTTGGAGAGATGTATTTGGAGGGATGTGGATGAGATAGGGGACGGAAACATATGGTCAGCCTTGAATCTCGATGGGGAAAAGTGAATGCCCTACAATTCCCTCCACCAACATGCCTTGGAGAACTCTGAAACCATCTATTTGGGCATCTCAGACCACTCTCATTCACTCAGACCATCCCTGGCCACCAAATCCTTCCCCTTCCTCCCATTTCCTGGTTTCCATGACCAGTCCTGGTTCGCTTCCCTTCATCGCCCGTCCCAACGACTTAGCTTCCCCATGCGTCCCCGCCGACACCCCGGAGGCCGGGTCGCGACCCGGCAGGAATCGACCCAAACGCACCAGCATTCCGGTTCGGGAGCCCGGAGACGAACGATCGATCGGCGGGTCGTTGATTGCGGATCGATCGATGCAGGGCGTTCCACCGGAGCGGAAAGAAAAGAACCGGCAGGATAGGACTGGCAGGAACGGCAGGCTGTTGGGAGGAACTTTCGATTTTGGGGAGATCCGAAGATCGAGGGTGGATGTGTGATATAAGTAGTAATTACTCATCACCATTCGGAAGGTTTTTCATTTTTTGATCCGGAGATAGGTCAAGGGTGTTTGGCCACTCGGATTTTAGACTCAACTTGCAAGTCACAACATGAACTTTGACCAAGAAGAGCCACAAACAGCCCCGAGATGCGAAGAAATCAGGATGAGGTTTTTGGTTTTATCAATGCCCTGTCCATGTCTCAGCCAAGATGTTCCAACAAGAACCTCAATGAGCACCAGAAGCAGAGCACCTCACTGATCCAGCCTACGGGTGCCAGGGCTGCCAATGGGGCAAGTTGGCAAGATCACACCAAAACCCCCACTGAAGAATCGATCTCTCATCTCTCCTTTTTCAACCTGATAAACAGCACGGACCTAGGACTCTCCCCCCCAAAACCCTCCTGCGCTGCTCCTCACCCGTTTTGAGGTCCGCGGCCCGGACGCCGGCGGCGCCGAGAGCTTCTTCGCGGCCAGCGGCGCGCAGGGCGAGCGGCTCCTGCTGCGGCTGGAGGCGAAGAACGACGCGTGGGGCGGCTGCAATGCGTGGGGTGCATAGCGGTGGTATGTGGGAGGTGTAGAGGTGTGTGGGAGGTGCGTTGTGGAGGGTGGGTCATTAGATGGCTTAGGTGGGGTGGTTGAAGGTTGAGGCTTTGCTAAAGAGACCTCATCCTTTTGGGTGAAGCTCATTTGAAAGGTTTGGGGCTGTTGAAGCTTTGCCAAACGGATGAGGTTGAGGTGGAACCACCGAGCCATCGACCAGTGGAACCACCTTGTAGAGACTGACTCTCTCTAAACTCACCTAAAAGCTCCCCAACGTTTCTCAGAGTGCTTTTTTGTTCTTTCTTTCTTTCGCCCAGGCCCCGTTCCTCGCCTTGCAGGTGAAGAAACATGTGGGTTCCGAGACTGGCCCCGAAACCCAGTAGTAACTTAGTAGCTCCTTCCTGCGCCCCGGTTACCGGGTCAGGTGGCCGATGGCCACGTGACGGTCTCTGCCAGCTTCTCCTCGAGCGTTCGCACTTGGCATAGCCAGGAGGTGAGATGGGGAGATGGGAAGTTGGAAGATTGAGAGGTCTCTATTTTTTGTGACTCAATTAACTACACTGCCAGAAACAGACATTTCGAGAACTAGATACTACTAGACTACTAGAGTTGCTAGATGCTTTGAAGCTATTCAGATGCCGCATTTGTTGTGGGGCTTTCTCATTTTGGAGGATTTTCAGCCAGATCTCTGAGTCCATGAGGCCCTTTCACCGATCCTATCACTGGAGGATCTGACCGGGTGAAGAGATCACTTAATTAGAGGATAGGGATCAGTGACCTCCCAACGCCCACCACGAAGATGTCGCAGATCAGAGACTCAACAAAGGAAGTGACTTTGAAGGTCCTGGAACATGCACCAGGTTACTACTCTTCAGTTCACTTTGCAGTAAACTGTCAAAGAGGTGTCTCTGGATTTGTGCAACAATGGAGAGAGGGGGTGAATGAACGTTCAAGTGTTGTGCCATCGAGCTCTCGGTTTATGAACAACACAACAGCCAGATTGTTGAAGATCGGAAGGGTTTGACCTTTTATGGAAGACCTTTCAACCTTTGAACCTCATTGGCACACTGTCTGTCCAGAAAGCAGACGGACTTCGTCCTCCCAAACATGCCACATCACCCGGAACGCGGTGCCTGGCGGTCGCTACAGGGCCGAACGCGGCGCCAGTTCTTCGTGGCAGGCGCCAGACTCAATGGAACGGCCCAAGGGTTGGGGACCGATGCAGATGGTTTTTCTCCACAAAGAAGCCACCAGAGTCGAGGTCTCAAAAGAACTCCAACGGGTGATTTCCATGGGTTTTGCTGGTGGGTTTCGATTTTAGACTCACCCCCATCCTTGGTTCCCTCGCCAAGGTAGGGTCAATCACTGAGACTCTCGAACCCCGAAGCGGGCGATCGGATCGGGGCGAGCCCCGACGAAAGACATCCAGCGAGGCAAAGACGGATCCAGACGGATCCGCCAAGGAATAGCTTCTTGTTGTGCCCGAAGCTCTCCGAACACCCCCCCGCCGCATTCCTCAGCTCGCCGCAGCTCGCCCCATTCCCGCGCCAGGTACCTGGGCGGAGCCAAGTCTTCCGATGACGCCCGACCCGGAGGATCCCGACAGGCGAGGGGACGCACGTTCCACAGCGGACGGCGGATCGGCGGATCGGCCGGGGTGTGGCGGACTGCGGAATGCGGATCGGCTCCATGCGCGGATGTGTCCTGAAGAGGTGAAGGAGGACGTGGAGGTTGTGTCCAGTGTCAAGAGTTTCATAGACATGAATCAATGAATCAATACTGAAATATATTCGGGACAGATCAAGCGGATGATGGTAGACCGATATAGGGGGTTGTTCTTCTCAGGAAAGGGAATTGGACTTGGTCTCCACAGGATGATTGACATGTTCCTGGGGGATTCAAGAGTTTCTGGGATGATTAGTGGGATATTTCATCGCCTTTTTTCTCAGGGTGTGGTGACTTGAAACATCCACGAAGGTTCTCCTGATTTAAAGGGGCCTAGGGCCCAACAAGGGTCCAGGTACATGGCAAGACGTGCACACCCAGACAGCACGTGCACACCCAGACCGCCGGAGGAGTTCGATGGAACCATCGTCAACGGACACCGAAACCGATTGTTTCGATGGAACGTGAGTGGAGCGCTCGAGAGGGACCGGTCACTGGGTTGATTACTAGAGAGGATCTCCCCCCACAGAACAAGCAAGAGGTCTTTGATACCTGGCAGGCAGGCAGTTGATGCCCCTCTCTATCTATTTGTCCATTCTCATCAAAAAAGGCCTCTGTCTGGTCTGGTCGGTGGCGTTGCTCAGGTTCTTGGCGCAGATGACCGTTGCAGCTCGGTCGAGTTCGAGATTCGTTGCGGCCTCGTTGTGGTCGTCTCCGGTCGCCCCGCAATGCGGTCGTTCCGTGCGCATGGAAGGTAACCACGGAGGACCAGAGAAGTGGTAGACCTTCTTTCGTTTTTGGGTGCTAAGAAAGAACAGATGTTGAGGAGGGAGAGAGTTTCTTTCCGCTGAAAAGCCTACTGCCCTCCTGCTTACTTTTGTGGGTGCTCCTCTTTTCTCTGGCAATCATGAAAATACAAATGCGCGGGTGAAAAGAGGCTATAGTCATTAACTGGAAGACGGGCAGGTCTTCGCTTCCGGACTTACATGGGGCTGGCTCACGCTGGCTCCTTCCATGAGCTGGACCCCAAACCTTAGAGTCGAATGGATGGATGGACATCCGTTTCCAGATCTGTGAGGAGCAGTTGTTCCCTTTTGTGAGTTTTTGTTGGGAAGTTTTTCCCCTCTTGCCAGGGGACTCCGAATGGAGGGGTAGATGGGTCCTGGGTCCGGCCCGGTAGAGATCAAGGACATTGGTGCTTTCTCTCTTGGTTAGGACCGCTCCGGTGCACCCTCTCGGCTTGATTGCGTGCTGGAAAGTGAGACCCCGCCCCCCAAACGGAAGAGGCCATTGGAAGATCCCTTCTTGGCATTCACTTTCCAATTCTGGGGCACTGGGGCAATATGATTTTACATATGGTGGTCTATTAAAGATTTGCTTAAGGTTCTTTTTCTTCTCCCTCGAGAGGATACATAGATGGTTTCGGTGCTTGCCAATCTGCAGGCTTCGAGCTATGGCAAGGAGGAGTTCCAGATCTGGATGGATGAGGAGTTCCGCTGGAAATCGGCGTGGCGGATCGGCGTTGCCTCCCATGGTTCAGTGGATCGCATGGATGGCTCCGATGGCTCCACTGGGTCCAAAAAAGAGATCCGTTCAGAACCACGAAGTCCTCCAGACGCCCGTCGGAGCCTCGCGGCGCGATGCGTCCGCCAGGATCCCGCTCGCGCCCTCTTCCCGGAAGTGCCCAACGGTTCCAATGGCGGTCAGCTGGTGCTGGGCCCGGAGCGTGGGACGTCGGACGCTTGGCCGGGCCGTGGTGACGGAGGCGGAGGAGATGACGGAGGGTTCGATGGGTTTGGACGTTCGACCTTCGGAAGTTCTGGTTGGAAGGCTTTTGGAGTGCCTTATATAGAGCTGTGTCTTGATGGGCTTGGCACCAAGAGAAGGCAGCCATTCTGTTTTTGCCATCTGAATCGAGAGGGAGATCTATTGGATGGACCACTGGATTCACCCAGATGCAGCCATGTTCTTCCCACAAATGAACAGGAGATGGTAGTGTCCTTGCTCCTAGTAAGGCCAGGAGCCCCGTTCGTGGCTTCCTCGCTCCTAGTAGCGATGCCCTTTGCTCCTAGTAGTAAGATATAGTAAGCGTATATGATGGCCAAGGGATCCCCCGCGCTTGGGGTTGGGATCCACCGGCTCGAGCTGGCTTGCTTCCGGAAGCGACGTGTAAGCTGCGCACGGCCTCCGCGACGTTGTGACGTCGACGTTGCACGGGCCCAAGGAGAACAAGTTCCTCATCGATGGCTACCCAGGAGAAGCGTTCGTGAAGACCATTTCTTCCTCTGTCTGAAGACCATCTCCTAAACCACCGGATGGATTCATTTCCTAAACCGGGTGCCCCCCAAGTCTCAGGGCAGCTTGTCCTTCTTTGTTTTGCTCCTTTTCTTCTTCCTGTCAAGGACCGCCTGCATCAGAACACATCGGTGTCCGCCGTCCGCCTGGAACCCATTGGGCATTGGCTCAAGGGGGCAGATCATGTGGGCAGCAAAAAGAACATGTCTGACACTGTCTGACCTGCTTTCCTGACGCACCAGGAGCATCTTTCGAGATTTGTTTGGACTTGAGGTGTCACTCGGCTGATGGGATACGCAACGGAAGGCGATGGATGGGGAATTCGTCTCCAGGGACAGACCTGAATACACGCGCTTCACTGGCCATATGGCCATGCCGTGGTGGCTAGTAAGCATTCTGTTGATGCTTCGGGGTTCTCACAGGACAGAGCAGGACATTGCGACAGAGCAGGAAACTGTACTGGTTTCGGAGAAGGCTTTTCTGCGGTTCCAAAATGCCCGGTTCCAAAAGTCCCGGTTCCAAACTGAGTAGCCTACCTAAATGCAGACTCTTGATCAATCAAACCCGCATAGGAAGAGGTCTTACAATCCAAATGGGGGGGCCGAGTTCAGATGCAGCCTTTGAAAGCCAGATCCTTGCGATCTATTTCGGAGACATTCTGATTGATGGTAAAACATCTCAATACATTCTCTCGTGCCAAGTACACACCAACGTACTCTAAACAGGGCACGTCAAGTCTTGTTCGCCTGGGTTTCACGGCCTATCATGAAGCGGATATTTCTAGACGACCTAAAATACCTAATGCTTCAGACACATCTGCCTACATGCTTAATTTGATCTTGACTCTCCCGCATAATCCACCGTTCCACACAGAAGTGGAGATTCCGCCACTACTGGGGGTAAGCTGTGAAACGTTGTTTGCCAGACCTACCAGAAATTCCGGTCCATTGGAGCGCGAACAGTTCACTCAGATTTCGTGTGGTATGCCTTGTTTCGCAAGAACTCTTTTGACACGATCACTCACCCTGGCCCGAATTAGTTCGATTTTGTTGCAAGATCAATGTCAATTCATAATTAGTGTGACCTGCCTGTTGATCTTTTGGACTTCCTACCGAGTAGTTGCCTTAATGCCTAGTTCGTGCCTTTTCGTAGTTTCCTTTGTACACTAGTCACTCTTTTCACCTGATCCCTCATCACCCACCCAAACCCGCTGGAAATCCAGCAAGGGAGGGAGTGGGAGCGCGGCTTGCAAGTCCGTGCATCCAAATGGGGGGTATCTTCAATCAAGAGTCTACATTACCACCAGCTTCTTCCAAGTGACCTCTTTGGACTCTCTAAGTGACCTACCGGCCTTTTCGTGACCTCAAAGAAGGGGATCAAAAGGTCACTTGGAAGAATCAGGTGCGGCCGTTGTACATAGTCTTTGGAAGAATCAGCTTTTCATTTACCAACGGCCGTGAAAGCACACCGCGCCGTTGGTGCCGGAACGCCCCAGGTAGCAACAAATGGCACAAGGTCACCTGGCGAAAGCTCCCAGCAGCTCGGCGGACCGAACCGAGAGCTGGTCCCGCAGGTGACATCAGTTGCCAGAGGTCTCGGGAGGGAGTTCTATTTGTTTTTTTTTAATTTTTAGTTTACTTCATTATCTTGTTTTTTAATTAATACTAATTCATTTAAGATTCTTTTTGGCCTTTTTAACGTGTACAGATTAACATCAAGAACATCCAAGATCATCGTTGGCTGGGAAGGGCCTTCATCAAGGGAGTCCAAGCCGGCCGAGAAAACCCGCACTCAGGATCAACGGGCACTGCTGTGACCACGTGACGTGGGCGGTGCTTGGATCAAATCCATGGGCTAAGCCTATCTACTTAGTGAATCTGAGTCATACCCTAAAGTTTTTCTGCGATGACTCGCGCGATTTCCAAAGTTGTTCCAGCTGCTTTGGTCACTGACCGGAGCCCGAAGATGCTCATTGTTAGAGTCTTCGTGTTCCAGTCTTCTCTTGTTTCGAGCGCAAGAGGACGTGCGCCAGCTGTGGGTGCTTCGTCAGTCCTCTGGAACAGCGCCGGTGCGTCCGACATCTCGCAGCGGGCCCGACGTCTCACAAGCGCCTCACAAGCGCCGGCCGAAGTGGAGACATGATGCGGTGGTATGTTGTGTTCTTGCTCAAAGACATCAACCAGCTATGGAACCATAATCATCCATGGAAGCATCAAATGAATCAAGAAGATCCTCTTCCACACCGCTTCTGCAGAAAGCTCTGTTGTAAGGAACCACAGAGTTTGGGCAGTCCTTCCATTTAACACTGCAGCATTTCTGGGGGTGAGAATATTCCGTGTCTGGTGTGAGCCCCGAAACAAAAATAAACACCGGCGAATCAACGATCTCATGCAGTTCATCTAGCATCCCACAGAATCCCAAAGAATGCTCTGGTGTTTTGGGGTATCACTTGATGGTACGTGCATGTGGGGCTCAATTCCTTGGGTTTCTTCTTTTCTTTCTTTTCCGAAGGTCTCCAAATCTGAGGAAGGCCTCCTGGTTTGGGTGGGCTGTGAGAGAAGCCGTGCCACCGGGGGCGGGGTGCACTGTGATGTCAGTCAGAGTAACTGCCACCCCAGAGACATCCTGTAAGGCCTTGGAAGAACGGGTCCGCACCCAGATTTGGAGAAGCTTAGACATCTTAGGGCAGTTTCAATAGGCTCGGAGAGTGTTTGACTTCAGAATGGCGAGCAATCAATGTAGAAGAGACCTCTTTGTGCAACGTTTTCCGGAAAAAAACCAACAAACAAACAACACATTTGAAGATGGTGAAACCAAAGCCCAACTGATTGTCCCAGAGGATCGTTGCGAAAAACCGAACCGTCCTCTTCTTTCCGCACCTGCATGATGTCTATATATCCCCAACAGAGTTCCCCAAGATGCATCTTGTAGACCATGTTCACAAGCAGAAAGAACATGCTCGTGACTTTCGCACTGATCTATGCTCGTACCAAATAGGTCTGTGTGATCTACCCCTCGCACTGTTTCCAGGAGGGTAAAATCGGCGACGGCAGAGATCTATGATTGAAGATAGTGACACCCAGTTTCGCAGTTTCATCGTACAACTCCCATTCTTCGTTGGTTTCTCGTGCTCCACATGTTGCCCTTCGGCCGCCCGCCACGTGCCTCTTCCACGGAAAAAACAGGACCGTTCGAGCCACCGACTCTTCCGGCGTCCGCTGGGCGGAGGTAGGATCGCACCGCTGTGACGCAGGGTCCATGGACAACTCCACTGCGTTGAGACCCACTGCTTTGGCCGGATTTGTTTACGTTCGCTGAGTTGGAATGGATGCTGAGTTGGGGGAAGAGCCGAGCAAGAGAGAACCCTTTTTTGATCGGCTCGTGCAGGCGAACTACGTCGATCATTTGGATTGGATCAAGGGGTTCATGTCCTTCATACACTGGCATTGGAACAAGAGTGTCTTTTCTCCATCCGAAAACATTATATAGTAATAAAGAAATATATATATACCTATATCTATAGAGAGAGAGACCCCCAAGTAGATAGAAAAGTAGATCCCTACTAAACATGTATTGGGAACCGTGCCACTATCTATTTGGGGACCCTGGGGACCACTATACATCGCTAGAATGTTTTGTTTGCACCCAATGGTGAACCTGAAGGACAGCATCCACCAGCTACCAGCTCTGAAGGTGGCATCTGCCCCAAGCACTTCTGCAGATTTCAATTGGACCTGCCAAAGGGCTCCAAGTCATTGAAGAAAAGGCCCTCATTCCTTCCCAAACAACTTAAATGTATCATCATGCATCACCTTCTTCGGAACCTCACTTTGCCACCCAACCCACGTGAGCAGCGGTTCACCATTTGGTCTCCACTCAGCACTTGTGCCCTTGACCGCAATGGCCTTATCCTCCGGCCCTGCCGGTGGCCTGGCTGGGGACCTGCTGCCGTATCAGAATCAATGCTCCTTGCGTGATGTGGAGTCGAACGTCGCTTGGGCAACCAGCCGGGAGCCACCGGAGGGTCAGGCAGCCGGCGACGTTGAATCGGTTGGACCCTGTGGCTGCGCTTGCGCGATTCTCCCAATACCCTTGGTTGTTAATGGTTGTTATAGTATGCGTGGATCGTTCCTGACCTCAGAAGCCCCTGCATTCCTTCACTTCAGTTCACATCCCAACGAGACCAGACACCTCAGCAAGGTCTACCTAATTATAGATCTGGTGGATCAAGACCAACCCCATACTTTCATCTCCAAACCAGCCCTGAGTTCCACCTTGTCCCATCTAGAAAACATCATCCCAATGAGATCCGCCCCAGATCGACCCTTTTAAGGTCCTCCTCCTGTCGTTTGGAGCCATCTCACCCTTTTGACATACCCGCTTCCCACCCAGCTCACAGATCCCTCCATCCTCCACTCTCGGTCGGACCTGTTTGCCCACCCTGCTCACCGCCTGCCCCACCCCCCGGTTCTCCCCGTGGTGCCGAGCCCGGAGCTCAGGTCGATCCTGCGAGCTACGAGCACTTCATCGAGACTTTGCGCCAGGGCTCCGCGGGCTTGTTGCGCGTGGGCGCCGCCGCGCGGGTGCTGCAGCGCGAGGCGCATAAGACCTCGACCTTCGCCAAGGCGAGGGGTGAGAAGTGAGAGCGGTGAGATGTTCCATAGTTCTTTTCTGTTTGAAAGGGGGAGTTGCTGGGGGGAAGACCCAAAACACGTAGATGTGGGTGGGTGGAGAGTGACAAGACTGGTGGCTTTGGGATGGCTTGATGCGGTTTTCCAGGGATGTGAAGAGAATGATTAAGCTATCCTTGCACTGAGACTAATGACTGATGACCACTTCCAATTCTTTCAATGAACATCCCCAAGCAAAACCCTTGCAAAAGCCGTTGGGTGCCATGGCCCAACCCTCTCTCCCTCCCTGTCACTTGCCCCTTCCAACCTGTAATCAACCTTCACCTCCCTTTCACCCGCAGCGAACACCTGCGCCCCACCACCCGCGACCCCCACCGCTACGCCCGCCGCAGCCAGGCGGCGTTGGGCGCCGCGACGTCCATTTTGGACGACCCCGATGGCACGCCGGGCGTGCTGGCGAAGCGCGAGACCCAGCGCCGCTCGGCGCGTTTTGATCTCCGCTCGCGTTTTTTACTTTCTTTTAGCGACTGGTGGTGCCCGAATCATTGAACTCATCTTGCATCAAGCGGCTACTCAGTAGGTCGCTGGCAAAGACTCAACATTTTGGGTCTTTGAGGGGTAGCCAAAGATTTAAGAGAAATGAACATATTGCAGCGGTTAGGACTTACAGATTACAAGTTAGAAAGTGAGTGTATGGCTTGGGCAACCTGCCTGGGCCTGGAATGAACATGCCCAAGATGCCCCAAAGCATCAGCCGTTCCTGGGGATCATCAGTCACCCACTCCCAGCATGGAACACCAATGGATCCCCCCATCCTGGCTGGATCCAGCCAGGGTCGACTCCTCACTTGCCTACTAGTAACAACTGCCACGCTAGTACGCTAGTAGTAACAAGTGCCTTACTAGTAGTAACAAGAAGCTATTTATTTTAATTCTAATAGCTTCTTGTTACTACTAGTAAGGCACTTGTTACTAGAAGCGATGCACTTGTTACGTTCGTAGCTTCTTGTTCCTCCACTCCACCGGAGAAAATAAGGCTCCACCGGGCTCCACCTCCGAAGGTCCTCTGGAGGACGGTGGCCCCTCCTCCTCCTCACGAGCGGAGTCGTCGTCGTCGGCGAGTCAAATCGCCACGAGCGACGGAGCCGAACCGACGCGAGCGATGGCCGACGCGTTCGTTCGCGTGGTGCGGAGAACGTAGCGGAGAGCGTCGCGCCGTGGACGGTGCGGAGTGACGTTTCTTTTTTTGGACGGAGTTATATACATAGTTGGACCGGGAAAGAAGCCTTTTTTTAAATGTGGAGCCGATCTGAGTGAACATGTGGTGTGGATGTTTCGAAGATCTGCGGAGATCCATTGAGGGATTCTAAATCGATTCTCGATTGTACGGAGCAGCTTAGCTGGTTTCTTTCTGGGTTAATTAGGTTGCTGATTGCAATCACATTGTTTAGGTCCTAAGGCCAGCTTTCAGAATAGACGTTAGAATAGATAAGAGAAGCGAAGATGCGTTGTCCATGGAAACGCACAGTGTTATTGGCGTGCATTCCCTGAGAATGAGCGGGCTCCTATTTTCAGCGTTAGATTTCCATCATTTTCCAGCATTCTGCGAGTTCTGTCAAGATGAGAAGGACCCCGCCATAGGCTTCGAAGTTGCGGGCAATCCCCAAGGGGCTGGACGGTGTGGAGTCAAAAAGAAACACGGTTCCCGGTGTGGAGACGACGGGTCCGAGAGCACCCTCCGACCGACCTCAGATCCACCGTCCTACTCTCGACGGACGCAGGACTCGATCAACGAAAAACGGGGACCGATCCATTCTGGAAAACGGGGGAGCTGTGATGATCAGTCTCCATGAGTACCTCAAGTTGCACTTCCCCTCAGTACCTGGCCCTTTGTTTCCTGCTCGACTCCAACTCATAATTGCGGACCCCCGCGGCCGGTTATGTTCGGGGTCGAGATCGAGGTTATGCCATCGCCTGGTGGAACCGCTACTTCCGGGACCTCGCCAAGTACGAGCCGCAGAGGATCCGTCACTGGGCCGGGTGCCGAGCCTCTGGTGGTGTGAAAGGATGGTCGTCACTACTGAAACTCTCCTTACCTGATCAAGAAAACACAACTCATGGGTTTCTGGGGTCATTTGGACGGTACAAGCCCCCAAATCTCCATGGAGTCTTGAACGGATCCAACTCCTTTCGTCTATTTGGCCGCCGGCCGGAGCGGGAAAGAGAGGAGTCGCCCAGCTAAGGAGCCCGACGGAGCATGGCAGATGCCAAGGCGGAGAAGGAGGATCTTGATTCGAAACTGATGCAGCTGCAGTCCATCAATAAAGATGAGTTCAGGCGAAGATCTGGGCGTTCTTTTTGTGTATGGGAAGTCTTTGGAGCCGAAGGATTTGATGAACATCCTCGGGTATTGCGTGACTCATTGGTGACCCCCCAAAGCAATCAAATCTGTTTGTATTTGTATAAGGGCTACATCAGGGTCTTTTGAGATTACTACGTTTTGGGAGTGCCTGGGCCTACCCCTGAGTCTTGAGTCCACACAAGACACATGGGTTGCACCGACCGCATGCAACCGACCGCCATCCAACCGACCGGTCGGAAGCGACTCCTTTTCCGTGAGGAAGCGCTTGTCGGACCAGCGCGCGGACCTCAAAGAAAGGGAATCCGATTTCCAGTCCAACACCCAGCCACTTGGCAAACCACGGAGGATCATGAACAGAGATCGCTGACGAGAAAAAGTTGGTTTTGACTGAACTCATACTTGGCTGTTTTTTGAGAACGGATGCTGACCATTTATTTATATACTGTTTCATTTATACTGCATACGGAGAATTGGACAACGGGACTCCAGTCCCGGACCGAGTCACGACTCCGGATGGATCGAACGGATGGATCGAACGGATTCCGGTCGACTCTCGGGGAGGATTCGAGTCGACGTCACGCTGCCGACCCCCCCCAGACGAGTTGGTTCAAGATGAAATCAACAGGAAAAACGGGTGAAACCGGGCCTGAAACTGCAGCGAAACACCCAGACTTGGACAACAGAGAAGAGATGAGAAGAGTCTTGAGCAATCTGGAAATCCAAGTGATGAAGGGGTGGGGATGGTACACAAACATTTAACAGCCACACGATTCACCGATCACCCTTCCGCCTGACGGTGTGTTCTCATTTGGCACTAGATGGCGCAGCACAGTGACACATTTGGAGACCAGACCAACGATGCCAGATTCTGCTTGGTGATTTGTTGGTCGACGGCTTTGTCATGTCGGTGTGCAGCAGAAAAGACGGATACCCTGCAACCAATGGGTAGACTAGTCTATCTTCTTCTTCCAGGAAGTAAAGCTAGGGCCTAGCTAGGGGTCTTCCTATTCTAATGCACACCCATGTTGGTACGATCATCCAAGGACCAACTTGCAGATGAAGCTGCAGATGGCGGAGGCCGAATTCGCGGCACCCGACGAACCAACGAAGGGAACCGGACCAAGCACCGTTGGCGTATTTGGGTGGATGTGCTTGGGGAAGAAGAAGGTCCCTGGTCCTTTCCTTTACAGAAAGGAAACATCAAAGATTGCATGCACTTTGGAAGGTCACTGTTCCACCAAGGATGAAGAGGAACGACGAACAAGTCCAATCTTGACAAGTTCTGACATTTACATAGACTGTGAATGTTTGACCAGAACTGAACACTAAGTTGCCATTGTGCGTGTAGGGAACGATATAGCAACTATAGTTGGTATTAATGGACCTTTCTCAACAGTTGGTTTTGTTTGAATTCCCAACAATTAGTGGGGGAGGTTCTGAAGCTTTGTTTCGACCTTGAGGACATTCCTATCGACCAGTTGATGAACGTGATGTACCATGCTGCACCATTGTTAGGTTGATGGGAATGCCGGAAGTTTGTGTTGTTGGTGTGGGAGTGTGTCCACGAACAGTATGTTAAGTTCAGGTGTGCCGAGACCCAGCACAAGGTCTTCTTATTGAGTTCCACCACCTTCTTCCCTTCTCCTGGGAAAGAATCTGGAAAGATATGGACAGATCACTTTAAGACCATCGACCAAGCCAAGAAGACCCACTTCTTCCCCAGTTCAACCCTGTGGTTCTACTTCGGGCGTCTGCCAGAAGATTTCCACAGTTTCCGCAGGGGGCCGGGAACAAGATGGCGGCGGCGAAGTATCGCGACATGCTGGACGACTACTGGGTGAAGCGGGAGAGAGAGCAGGCGGTGATCCAGGAGCCCGGGCTGCTACGGGCTGCTACGGGCTGCTGTCTCTGTTTGGAGCTGGAACCGCTCGCTCGCTGTGACGAGCGGTGTAGGATGGTGTAGGGGTCCTGGAGAGACATGACATGGGTCAGAGAATACGAACAGGAGGGTTGGGCATGGCTTGGAAAAGCTGTTCTTTGTTTGTCCCTGTCTTCAGGCAAGCTTTGACCCCGTTGAGCCACCAGGGTCCTTGGTTTAGATGGTAGGGTTTAAGATGGTTTAAAGACATCCCCAGTTTGACAGTCGTTCCCTAGCAACCAATCAGCATAGACACTTTTGCTTTTAATTGGACCAATCCCAGCCAGTCATGGCTGCCACTGCTCCAATCACTTGTGGTCTTTTTTCGTGTTCTAACTGGCGGAACCCGAACAAGACAGTAAGTCCATCAGTTCGTTGAGGTTCGAACCTTCAGAGATTGGTAAGGTCTGGAAAGAGGTTGGTAGGACTGGTAAGGGTCCTTACCTTCCAGATTGGACCGTTTGCCCTTCAAAAAATGTCGAGGTTCCCCAATCAGAGCCAGATCTGAGCCAGATCTGGCCCTTTGCAAAAGCACTTCTTTGTAAACCGACCCAATGGTGCCAGGTTCTTTTTCTAGGGTTTCTGAAAGACCTTGCTCCAGGAGATCAAGGAGGATCTCACAAAGCAGGAGACCTTCCTGAAGAAGTTGCCTGGAGCAACCTGGCGCAGTCTGCAGACCAGTCTGCATGGATCGTATCCACACTAAGTTCCAAGCCCACACGAGTCGATCCGATTGCGAGGGATCTTCAGGAAAACGAGCCCATGGATTTTTTTGTTTGGTCGATCCACTACTTGTTGGCTAACTCTGAATCTAAGAACCTACTTCTAAGAACACAACCCTTTGGTCTTCCCATTTGGCACACCGACGGACCATTCTTGGCCTCTTGCCTCTCTGTCCGTCCCGGTGAACGCGAAGACAAGACGCCGCGCCGCCCAGGAGATCAAGAGCGCCCAATCCAAAGTGAAGAGCGTCAGCAAGCGCTACGAGAACGCGGCCGCTCGGCAGGGTGGGCGAAGGTATCGAAGGATGGTCGAATTTTGCTTGGGTTGCGTTGCTTCGAGTTTACGGATTTTCTTTTGGAAGGGCGACTGCATTGGAGCATTTGAGATGGATGAAGATGAATCCAATGTTTCCACTGAAGGGTTGACCCAGATCCAGTGGCAGTTGCGGCAGTTCGTTGAAAAGCCAGACTTTGACATTCTTTTCAGGGGGGTCCCACATGGTTCCACCTTATGTGGGCACCCCTGCCTGGTGGTTGTACAACTAGATGAGCCTCAGAAGTGTGGGGAACAGACCAAAACATTCAGAAGGACCAAGGATGGCACTCCTATGACTCAGCATCCATTGTCCTTCCGGCAGTGCCCTTCACTCAGCTGGTTTCCGGATACATACATCCGTGCTCGAAGACGGTTCCGTTTTTGAAGTGAGCTGTATTCAGCTTCCGTTTCAGTTGACACATCATCCATGAGAAATTAAATCGACTTCATTCACCTGACCAACAGGCCTTTGTAGTGGCCGCCAACAGGCCCCTGCTTCGCCATGGCCATGACAATCCTCACCGGTAGTCCTCAAACATCGCAAGCTCCTCTTAGGGAGTAATCTATAAACTCTATGCCAAAGAGTCTTAAAGCCAGAAAACGTAGTGCCTTTCTTTCTTGGATTTTTGTTGGTTCGTCGGATGACATGACATGGTCTCGCCGAACAGCACGACGACCCAAAAGAGGCCGCGCACGTACTCGGCAGATTCAAAAAAGAGCATGTTTTCCACTATACTCAGCAGTCAACTGAGCCAAGACCAGCTTCTTCACTTCGTGACCTGTTCTCCCGGATCAAGACGACAAAGGGTCACGTCTTGAAGAACCGAAGTATCGGTAGAAAGTATCAAGTTGGGCGTGTTTTGACGTGTCCAGTGTATGTAAAGTTAGGATGTTTCTTTTACATGCAACTTCGGCCACTCGCCAACTCGCCCAGCGTCGCCCTGAGGCCAAGCGTTTGAGCCAGATTAAGGGGCATCTGGACGGAATTCCGCCGCGTCGAAACGCGTGTGCCACGTGGCACACGTTTATGACATTGCAGGGGCGGTTTCAGTGAAAGTTTTACTGTGAGGTCAGTGTAGATCGGAGTGAGTCGCACAAGCTCGATTGGCTGATCAAGACTCCCATTGGAAGACACATATGACAAATGAAGAAACCAGGGTACAAGGAGGTCATCATAAACTCCGTAGCTTTCTCTTTCTGTGTTTATGTGTGTTTTGTGTTATGCTCTGAAACATCCAAACGAGTCATGTCCATCTGCAGGTTCCCTGCCACGACCGACATGACTCGCATGGTTTACATGATCGTCCGTGGTGTGTTGGCAGGAGGAGCTCCAGCTGAACATGCCCTTGAGGCCGACGAACCCCTACGAGAAGTTGCCAAAGGCCAGGCACTTTGGTTTCATGTTTCTTTTGAGGGTTCACAAGGGAGTGATGACAGTGATGAGGTGAGATGGGTGAGTTGAAGATCTCTTCTGAAATTGATGGCCCGGTCGGTAAGCAAAGCGATTACACTGGCGGTGTCCAGTGTGTCGCTTTGCCCGACCGGTAAGCGGATTTTCGGGTCCTTGGGGCCTTGTCTTGCATGAAAATCCCTCAGCGAACTGACGGGAAGGCCTGAAAGCCAAGGGTCCTTCACTTTGCAAAACATGTCTTGTTCGGAACCATCAAGGATCTTTGGAAGCAAGCGCTTGTCCGCAAGCCACTCCAAAAGCCAGAAGCAGATGGGTGGACTGATCAACTACAGCAAGTCTCGTAGAACAACCTTTGGGGATTTTGCAGTAGGAAGTCCAAAATGCATCGCATCTGACATCTGAAGTTTCATTCATAGGACTCTGGCACCAACTTTTGCTTCTCCATGAAAGACTTATACAACATGTTCGTATATCTATATAGTTATAAAAAGGTTATACCATGTTATAACTATAGAATAAATAGTATATCTAGTTAGAAACAGGTTATAACATGTTATAACTAATATAGGAGAAGCCTTCGGGGTCACAACCAAACTTTGCCCAACCAACCTCGGCCGAGGCCAATTGCTTCCGCCTGGGCCGGACGCCGGTCGAGGCGGGCGCCGGCGCCATGGGTGCGGCCTTCCTGGGCGCCGTGGGTGAAGAAAGCGCGAGGCAGGAGCGACGGAGGGGTGGATGAGGAGCACCTGAAGAGGTCATGTTGCCGTGTGTCACAAGAAGGTGTAGAAGAAGGTGATGCAGAATCTTGATTAGCAATCCCTCTATTTGGATTGTAAAGCCTCTTCATATGGGGGGTTCGTTTATCAAGATTAGTCAAGATTTGCATTATGTTGCACGCTCCTCGATGTGGCGCTGGCTCAAGTGATGTATCCGAGCGATCAGAGCGCAAATCCAGTGGCGCTTGAGCGTGACTTGCGATGAGCATGAGGCCTCTTGGGGTTCCACAGAAATCACCACCGTGCACAGCAGAAAGGCATATATAGTTGGTTGCAAACAGACCGTTTTGAGGGACTTGACAAGACGGGAAGAAGTGTGTGGGTGAATGGGGCAAGTACCGATTTGCAAGAGGATTTGCTTTGTTTCATCCATGTTGATGGATGTTTGTCATCCTGAGGAGGTCACCTTGGGGGAGCAGCAGAATCAGCTCTATATCCCTCGTAAGGCAAAATAAGTTCATTTCAGCCTTTTTTGGGTGTGCCATCACCATTTTTTTTGGTGTACTTTCATCACTATTACCTGTCACCATCATTTGGACTTCCAAACAACAAGAATAAATTCAAACCCTCAAGTGGGATCTTCGCAACAACTGGCTCCATCTTTTGCGCAACACCCACCAGCGCTGCTATGGTCACCATGAAAGGTCCGCCAGGGGGTGAAGGTGCAGGAGGAGACAAGTCACGTGCAAAAGGCAACAAAATTCACTACATTGAAGAGATTGAAAGCACTGATGACAAGGCAACAGATCTGCCAAAGCATACTGCTACCCCAAAAGATTGGGCGCAGGAGGGTGACCAGCCCGGCGAGGCGCAGACGGAGAAACCTGCCACCCCACGTGCTGGCCCAAAGGAAGCCTCAGATGCCCACACCAACGTGGACATAGGGACCCAATGCCAAGGCGGTTCGAACAGCATTGCTTGCAATATCAGCGGGTACCGCTGGTATTGCAAGAGCCCCGATGGGCACTACCCCATCAAGAACAGTATTTTTAGGTTGAATGGTCACCACAGAAATGCAGCAGCTTTCTCAAGGCGTAAGGGTTCAGGTCAATATCAAAAAACCATCTAAAAACGCCAGCAACATCATCTAAGACAATCGTGGACTCTGGCAGCAGCAGAAATCAGAAGTTTCATGTCGACCCTTGCAGTAGCCTTGCCCCAGCCATGGTGAAACACATTCACTTAAGGAAGGACAAGAAAAGGACCAGACGCAGTGCAAGACAAAAAGCAGAGATGGAGATTGAGGACACTGAAGAATGAATTGCCAAGCACGGACGGAGCCCACCAACTGCCAAGTCGGGTTCGGGTGGACCTGGGGACCTGCGGAGCCCTAGTGGGTCGAACCGTTCAGCGTCTCCGTTTCACGTTTGCCCATGTTATGGTCGCCGGGGAATAATCAGTGCAGGTCGGCGTGTTGTGTGTTTATAGCCTGTAAACGCTCGGCAAAGCTTTAAGTAAAACCCCGCACCAAAAAAGGACGATGGCATCCCCAGAAAAAGGTGAAACGACTTGAACGTGCCTTTAAGCATGAATAGTAATTCTGTATCTTCTCAGGTCATGCAGGTTCCCCGCGAAGCAAAAAACCCTGCAAGGTGGCCGGAAGCGTCGACGTCGATGTCGAGGACCCTGGTGTGCAGTGTGGTGGGGGAAACGATCGAAGTGCGCAGTGAGGCAAGGACTGGGTGGACTGGGCAAGAACCCCGTAGAATCCAAGCAAAAGAACGGCTTTGAGGATCAACGTGCATCATCTTTAAGAAGATGTGCTTTTCAAAATTGGTCAACCATCCGAACAGCGTAAGGAGGAAAAGGCGTTAAACGGGGATTCGCGCGAGGCACATAAACCCGGATTGACAGCCATGATTGAACATGAACACATGATGAATTTGGAAAAGTGTCTGACACACGCGTAAACTTGACAAAAAGCTGCAAATCAAAGTCCTTTCTTGTGTTTGACATTAATATTACGTAGTTTTGTGCAGGCTTTTCATTATGATCGTTATCGTTTTGCACCAACCATGCCAGTGTCCATTTCTTCTTCCAGTTTCTTTCCCTTGCAGGTCCCAAGCGACCTCCCACGCCTGGGTTTGGTGCGCCGCACCCCACCCGCCGCCGTCCATGGTGGCGTCGATGCCACGGTGTTTGCGGCCGGGAACCACACCGCGCGGCACACCGCGCCGCGGGCGACGCTGCGGACGGCGCTGCGGCCGGGCATGGGACGCTTGGAAGCAGTGCAGAGGGCCCAAGAGTGGCACTCCGAACAGCTACAGGAGCTTCAAGGCGGGGCTGAGAAGATGCAGAGCATACTGATGACGACCTGGGTCAAGTGTTAGCGAGTCAGAACAGGAGTCAGAATTGTGGAGATTTCAAGTCGACGGTTCTGTTGAGGGTGATCAATGATAAGGATTGTGAATTGATGTTTTGTGCCCTAGATATCCCTGTGAATCATACTTAGAGTTCTTCCTTCGGTCGGACACGCAGGGAAGTCCAAGTCAGAAAGCTTCTCCTCAGTTGGTGCGTGGGGTCCCAAGACATGTTAGCACCAGCATCATGGTGATTGGTGCCGTCGAGGAACCTTCGTCGAGCAACCTCCGTGGAACTCTCAGGTGATGTGCGAGACCTCAAGCAGATGCTCCAGGCCTTGGCACACCAAGCTGCTCCACGTCGGCCTTGGGACCCTGCCAACACGCACACGCACACGACGAACACGGTGGATGGATCTGGATCTGCAGAGCGACTGGGGTCTCTGGGAGATTTGGAGGCGGATCAAAGTGTCAAGGATGAGGTGGGGGCAGTGCACGAGGGTGGCGTGGGATTTTTTAAAAGCAAGGCGGCGTGGTTTGAGGTTTGTGCCTGCACCAGAAAAAACCCTGTTTAAAGTGTCACCCTCTATATAGAGTTTTGCTGTGGAGATTTCTGACCTTGGTATATATACATATATGTGTATGTATATTTATATATGTATATAGAGCGTGGACGGCGGAAGAAGGCAATTTTGGACCAGGCCTTCACAGCGTCTACACCTTTTTTGCAGTAAATCTATCTACCAGTAGAATAGGCATCTTAAGTCTTGTGCTTAAGTCTAGGTGCCCCGGTATACTCGGACCAGGACGTGTTCCACGAATTGATCGATCCACACCAGGTGCAGGGTCGACCTCGGACCACTCCTCCGCCCTGCTTCACCCCCTGCGGCGGCACCATGGATCCAGAGGAGTGGAGCTTCGGCCTCTAAGCGCCGAGCGAGCGCCGAGCGAGCGCCGGCGGTTGAACCGGTGAGGTGGCCGGATTTGGAGACAGCAATGAGGAGCTCCGGAGCTGAGATACTGATGGATGGCCTGAGAGGTGTGCTGAAGAAGATGTGGAGAACTTTAAGGCAGCATTGAATGGAAGCATGCCTCTGAGTTTTTCAACGGTGATGTGAATGCAAACCGAACATTGGTTCATTTCCTTCACGTTCATTCCGTCCAGATGTCGATCTAATGATTCGCCATTAGTAGCCATTTGTGATGTTGAAGCAAACAATGCCACATTCGCTCCAAGAACCTGGAGGGCAAAGAATAGGAACAGCAAATGGTTCCAAACCTCCTGGGACTTCCGCACGTGACCTGGCCGTGACCTCCGTCCCACTGGCGACCCATGGCGGGCCACGGACGCGGCGACGTCGGCCGGCCACGTCACGTTGGAAAGCCCCCTGCCTCAACCACTTTGGATCGACACCATGTGGAAAGGGTGGGTTGCTTGGTCAAGTTACGAACATGAACGACATTTTCTACACTCACATTCTGGAAGGGTCAGATATGATCCGTGGAACACTGACTACTGTGATGGAAAACTCACAGCCTTCCTCTTCGTGAAAGAACCATACGGGCGTGTTGATATCTGTCTACGGACCAATTGGAGAAGCCCAGCAACCTCGCTTTTTTGAGGCCAAGAAACTGCCAACCAAAGAACTGTGGAGCGGACTTCATTCTTTCTTCACCGCTATTTCCCACAAAATACCATGGAATATGATGGCCACGTCAAGTCAAAGTCAAATTCTTTGCCCCCATCAAGCGGAGACCCAGCAACTGCTATTCCCAGCTTGAGAAGATGGAGACGCTGGAGGATGGAAGAGCTTCCTTTTGGCGGTTGGACGAGGTCAGGCAGCCATCCTCGATGAAAGCAGCTTTGGGCCTTAACGGCTGTGCGTTTTGTTGGATGCATTTGGTCTTTCTTACGCGATGGACTATGATTTAGCACAGGAATGCGAGGTGCAGATGCCCGGCACACTGTGCAGATGCCCAGGGGGCAACGTGATGTCCGACGTGGCGTGGCCAAAAGTGCAACTTTGCACTGCGATGTGCTGCCAAAGGACTCAGAAAGGCCGTAGATTGAACCAGTGGTACTGTAGAAGAGAGTCACATGGTTTCTAGCTATCTTGGGATATCTAGGGTAGTTCCAGCTCGGACAGCCAGAGAACAATGGAAAAACATGGGGATTTCTTACAATGTATATATATATATATACACACATGCACACACACACACAAACACACACCGCGCGCGCACACACTTTCAAGCTTGAAGAAACAGATCTCCACCCCTCCACCCTCTCTAGAGATCTACACTGATATATATATATATATATATCTATGAACTCACCCCCTGAACTCACCCAGCCTGTATAGTCAAACACCTCCCAGATGCCCCCGGCGTAGTCCATCCGCAGCAGTTCGGCTCGGCTCCAGGCCACCCAGGCGCCGCAGCGGAGCCTTTCTCTCACCGCCGATCCCACGGTTCGCGTGAAAGAGGGCGGTTAGACGGTTCGACGACGAACGACGGCAGGTGCTGGGTCTCCGGGTTTTCTCAGGGTTTTCTCAGGGTTTTCTCAGGGTTTTCTCAAGGTAGTCATGTGGTGTCCTTTGGAACAGTTGGTACTTGGGAGGAGTTTCGGCCCGCATGCACCCGGCTGAAAACGATCGCCCCCCGATGGACCCCACGGGTGCGTTCGAGGAAGATGTCGGACTGGTGTTCCGACGCCTTCGTCCATGTGAGTTGACTTCGGGGTCCCTGTGAAGGTTTCTATTTCTTTCCATCGACTGACTGTTAGGTCGATGATGCAATCAATGATGCAACTGCCGATGTGTTGACCTTTTGGGCGGTCTGAGCGGTCTTGGTTTCTCTCCCGCCGGTTCTGAGCGGTCTTGGTCTCCCGATCTGAATGGAACTTGGCCGGGTGGAGCAGAGAAAGTCTCACAAAAAAACATGCATTAGTGTAGAAGCAAAGAAAAACATATCTTGGAAACCCAAAGAACCAGACACCAATGGATGTTTCCAGTATTAAACCACTTGTTATGCAAAGGATCTCACTTGCCACAATGGAACAACCATTTGTTTCTGGTTGGGATGGGGTTTCCACGCTTTATTGGCCCACAATGTTCGTGTTCGGCATCGTGAAGTGCTGAGTAAGAGTGGTGGGTGGTGACCGACAGAGATTGAGGAAAAAAATGGTTCAAGAACACTGCGGCTGGCTCAAGACAGTCACTCATTGGCACGAGTTAAGTGAAGCAGAGCAGAGGAGCTTTGAACTTTCGCACCTACATCAGTTCCATAGAGTTGGGTGCTATCCATGGAGGATAGGGATGTACATACCATCCACTCACTGGATGGCCCAAAATGGAACTCCAGGGTTGTCACCTTTTGAACCATTCCTGAAAAGGAACCATCTCTTTGGGTCTTTTGGACATCAGAACCATCGCTCTTCAGAAGATGACGGACTTGCCACATTTGAGAGGAACATGATTTGGGTTTGACCGTTTTTTGTTTTTGTTTTTTCAGACCACATGGAGTAGTCACGTTTCCGTTGGCGGGGTGAAGTTTTAACCAACGTTCTTTATTTCCTTTGGTTCTTCTAGTGGGACAGCATGCACGTTTAAGCGCGTGGGTGTTTCTTTTAGAAGGGGGGTCCTTCTTTCGTCATTCCATGACTTTCTATCCGGAAGATGACCTCAACCTTTCAGCAAGTTCAGAAGCCCTACGGGGCCACTACGGGGGCCTTGCAAACGCTTTCAACACTTCCATGTGGGCCGCATGTTGCAGCCTCCTGGGGCGGAGCCTCTTTGTCACAGGCGCGGTGAGGGCGACCCACCAGCAAGGGGAACTCTGAGTCAATAGCGCTGGGGGCCCCCCCCGGCGGAAATACTTCAAACATGAGAGCCTATTGGTTGGGCGAAGCCGCTCATTTGGAAACTAGTCTATTTTCCTTCTTCCAGAGCTACACACCAGACTGTGATGTGGCGAGTCGCCCTGCTCCACGCCCGCCGCCTCGACCCGTCCAGTTGCGGCTCCATTGGTGCTCTTGGGCTCAGTCCTTCTGCAGGTGGCTCCGGGCGGCGCGCTACAAAGGGGTGGGCTTGTGGCTGGAGGACGGACCCTATTGCGCAGCACAGATAGATATCTGTAGCTTGGCACATGTAGATATGCAGTCTTCAGGAATGCGCTGTTGAGGGTGGTAAGGGGGGAAGATTCTTCAATTGTTGGTCCAAGTCACGTCCAAGTCAAGTGTTTTTTGAAGGAATCTCAAACAGCCAACTTCGTTGGATTTCCCGATCGCGATTGAACACGTGTCTGTTTCGTTGACCCTCAACTCTGCAGTCTGTTTGGCATTTGCACTGGCTCATCTAGTTGGGCGGTCAAAAGACTTGCTATGGCAATTCATCATCCCATTCCACATACGGTCCTGGGTGAACAGTGGTCACCAGGTCTTTGCCCGACCAGATTCGGGGTGCAACACATAGAGTCAGAGTGTTTCTCGAGGACACATCCCGCAGTGTGACACACCCACCAGAGGAGTGGACTTTTGCTCGGGATCTGATAGGGTGCTGATGTTTTTCTTTTTTTCTAGCACCGCTTCGCGTTCGCTTAGCACGGGCCAGGTCTCCATTGATTTGGAGGTGCAAAGTGTGGCAACCCAGGGAGTGGTCAAAGATGAACTGCAAATGTGTGGAGAGGAATGTGGCTGATATGTGGTGTGTGTATATGACATGTACGGGACTTGATGGGGCAGGTGGACTTACCAGACACATTGGGCGACGTTGACAAGTGTAGGTGACATGATTTTGAACGCCGCTCTTGCAGGGTGGATGGATGTTTTCAAGATGGAGGCGAACTGTTGGTTTGGAAGGCGGAAAATGGCCCACTTGCAGGTTCGATTGAGAGACTTAGACTCAGACGAACCTTTGCCGAGGTTCACACGTTTCGAGTGTGGTTTTTGGGAACATTCGTTTTCGATGCAGACAAATGGCAAAAGGGTGGACCCAGAAGCTGGAGCTACATCCACAAGGCCACACCCAGGCCGGGGTGTAGGTTTTCAGGTCCCTGTCCTGGGAAATCACGTGGGGAGACGAACTGTTGGAAGGAGAAAGGAGAGTTCAAGTGATCCTAAGGTCACCAGGGGGTGACCAAAAGGTGTCACTCCCAGACATTTGCATCCCATCTAGCCATCGTTCGTCTGGTGTTGGTTCATGGGCCGCCGATCTTCGCCTTCTTTCTGAGGCCTGCAAAACCTCAGATATGCTGTGGGTGAGTCCGCCTTGGCCACCGGCACCGAAGAGGAGGCACACGACGACGAAAACACAATCGGACCGACCGGAAACGCTGAGTGATCACGGACGACTGGGTCGCGTTCTCGGCAACAAGAGGTGGATGGGATCTACCCCAGATGAAGATGGGGCAAGGCCGAAATGAATAGGAGATGTGTTTTGGAATCAAATATAATCAAATAAAGTCGAGGTGGGCCCAGATACCCTATATATAATGTAGATCATCTCGATCTAAACCGAACCACATCGAGTTACGTCCTGGTGTTCTGACCCGACCCACAATATGTGGTGTTGGTGCTTGGAGTCGATGGGCCTTGAAGAAAAACGCCCAGGGTGGGGAAGATGAAGTTTCATGGACTCCAAAAAAGTGAAACCTTGCTCCTTGTAGCGTCTGCTGCTCCGTTCGCAGCGATGCCAGGAGCCCCGTTCGTAGCTTCTTGCTGGTGTTTTGTGTCGTTTTGATCAAGACAACGCCACTCAGAAGTCCAGTTCAGTCTTGGTCTTTGCATAGCTTAGACGCCTGATCCAGAGAAGGACTCATCGGTCCGACCAGCTGAACAAATATCGGCGCAGGACTCTTACGGATCCCTTTTTCACTCAAACAGGACGACTTGGAGATTCTTTTTATCCCATGAAGAACTAAGAACATCGCAAGAAATCTCCCAACAAGTCGAAGTTTTTCCCATTTTGCCCCACGTTTTGCCGCCCCCCCCAAAAGTAATCCAATCCCCACGTCCGGTCCCACGTCCACGTTCGTTCCGACACGTAAGAACGTCCTTCGCTGGGCGCTGGCAGGCCGCCCGGGACGTGGGCGAAGCGGCGCTGGATCAGACCGAGGCGGAGTGGGCACCGCACCGGACGGGGTGGTGAAGGCCGTAGAATCGACGGACTGATCAGGATATCGAATGCCTGAGGTGCCGGACCCACCTGAGGCAAGTGAAATCTTTCAGTCCGGTTCCAGTATAGATGAAGACAGAAAACGAATGAACAAAGTCCTATTCCGCAACTCTCCACTCTTCTGAAACTTTTCTTCCGCAACTATTTGGTACTCTTCCGCAACTACTCTTCAGAAACTATTCTTCAGGAACCATTTTGGGATCTTCAGGAACTATTTTGCGATCTTCAGAAACTATTTCGCGATCTTCTGAAACTATTTCGCGATCTTCAGAAACTATTTTGCGATTTTCAGAAACTATTCCGCGATCTTCAGAGACTATTTCGCGATCTTCAGAAAGCTAACATTTCAAAGTATTCCTCAGAACTTTTACAATGTTGCAGCCAATTTGCATGAAGGAGCACTGGATAGGTGGGTGGGTAGGTGGGTGGGATATTGACGTACCTTGTGACGGCTACGGTTATACATGCTTGTTTTGCGATCTGCAGAAAGTTTTTCGTGCAGGTTTGATGTGTAATTTTCGAACATTAGTTTCTGAAGAACACCGTACGTAGAGTTTCCGAAGATTAGTTTCCGAAGAATAGTTTCCGAAGAAAACCTTAAAGTTTCCGAAGATCACTTTTTAGTTGCCGAAGGTTAGTTTCCACTCAACAGTTTCCGAAGAACACCGTAAAGTTTCCGAAGAAAACCGCATAGTTTCCGAAGATTAGTTTCCGAAGAAAGCCGTAAAGTTTCCGAAGATCACCTTTTAGTTTCCGAATAAAAGTTTGACCGAACACGTATAGTCATGTTTCTTTGGATTTGTTTACATTTCTCCATGGTATTGGAAGCCGCTGGGCGACCAAGCGGCTTTAGCGAAGTGCAAAAAACGTTCCCCTATGGCATGTTCTTTTTTGGCGTGCATGGGTGGTTTGGGATTGACATGGCATGTTTGAGGGCTCCACACGGTGGAATTATGAGCCACATGACAGCTATATGGCTTTTCTAAGAATGAGCGCACGATCTAGTTTGCCCCTTTGAACAAACCAGAACCCCCTTGCTGCAAGTCTTATGGGAGTTCTTTTATGCTGCAAGAGATTCAGGCAGCCGGAGTCCTGACCTGCCAAGATCAAGTCTAGACACACCAAGAATCTCATCCAAAATGGTTGTAGGTCTCCTCCAAGCTCTGGGGCACGGTTTCTGATTCTTTTTGGGGCTCAGGCTACTTAGGGCAAGTATCCTCATCAAATACACCTACTTTGGACTACTTTGGACATTACCTATAAATTACTGTACACTAAAACCACAACTCAAACAGTTTGACATTAGGCAG